AAACAAGGAAAGTACAAACAATCAGAATCAAGATTAGCTTTATTCGCCAAGTGTGTGCAAACACACAAGGAATTTGTTGTGTTTTTATAGGAGCTCTTGGTACAAACATGCATACATACATACATACATACATACATACATACAAATATGACATTGAGAACAGAAAGGACATTTAAATAAGTAAGGAAAATAAATAAATAATAATAATAATGTGGTATACATCTGATTTATGTACAGATTTGTGCATTATTTACTCTATATGCATTTACATAATACTTGAGAGAGAGGCAATAATTAGTTATTAAGAAATGAATTACAGAAGGCATGTGGTAATTTCTGTGTTAGCTGTTTAAGCTGGAGATGGCATGGGGGAAAAAATGTGCATAATATTGAGACAGTGACAGATACACTATTTTAATGTAAAAGCATGCGAGGTGTAACGTGAGTGTCAGCCGCTTCCAGTTAGCCTATTTTTGCTGTATAAAAACAATCCTTTATGCTGCTTGATATTGCAAACTGGTACTTTATCCTATTATTTTAGTATCTTCTTGTACACACTGATTTGTAGTGCAAACAGTTTTACCGTTTACTACACTTTGGCCTGGTTTCACAGACAGGGCTTAGACTAAGCCAGGATTAGGCCATAGCTCAATTAAGTAATTTTTCATACACGTGCCCCAGAAAACACATTACTGGTGTGCATCTTGAGCCAAAACAAAGGCACTGATATATTTTAAGATCAGTCCGTGCAAGTTTTTCACTTGACACAGCTCAGATTTACATTTTAGTCTGGGACTAGGCTTAAGCCTTGTCTGTGAAACCGGGGGTTTATTTACTAGCAGAGCTAATGAATTGGAAGTCTTGAACATTCACAGAAAATAGCTTACTTTCGTGTTGAAAAATAAGCTTGATAATGGAGCTTGACTTGAAACCTGAAACGTGATGAACCACCTCCTAAAATGACAGCTGAGCTGTCCTAACTTGCATCTCTGGAAAACTCCCACCACATATGTTGGCTCCGCCCACAGCTCAAGCCACGCCCCAGCAGCTGCACTTTCACCCAGACTCTCACCTGACCAATCGCTGGGTCGTTTCCTCAACTTTGATGCTTATTACAGAAGCACCGCTTTAACAACCATTCCAGTGTGTCGATGTTCATTCCCACCACAGCTGGGATTTCAGACAACGGAAAGAGCAGAGCAGATCCCGAGCACTGCTGCAATGCCTTTACTTTATTTAGTCATTCTTCAGAGAGAAATGCGTAATTTGTGGCTGAGCTGCACCATTAAGATTGCCTTATTCTTTTAGGTTTAGATGACTGTTTGGCCTGAGAAACATCTCTGATCAAATGTTTAATTGGAAAATGTAAAGCATTTCATTGCATTGCTCAAAGGTTTTCTCATTTGGAATCATTTTGTGAAAATTCCAAACACCTGGAATACGCTCTTTCCATAACAATGCACTAAACACAGATGATGAATAACAAAAAAAGATTCACAACATCATTACATTAGTGTACTCATTATAATGTTGTTATTGTTAATTTATGTTACATGGTGAGGCATATTTAAATTAATATGTAATGTGTTTAATTTTCTTTTGCATCCTCTAACCCAGCTAACAAAATATATATTCTAAGAAAGTTTTGCGAACGTTCACATTAGGTACTGAAAACCTTATTTCTAAATGTTCTCTTAACATTCAAAACGTCCAATCTTTTAGATTAAAAAAAATTTAATTATTGGATATGCAAAGGGAATGCTCTATTTCATCATTTTGCAAACATTATGGGAATGTTGCGTTTGAATGTTCTCTGAACATGAACATTTCTAATGTTTCAGAAAAATAACATTCAATGTACAATGTATAAATAATTTGTGTGTGTGATAACATTTTGAGAACATTATTAAAGACCAAATAACTTTAAACCAACATTCTATGTGGCTGAGCTGCACCATTAAGATTGCCTTATTCTTTTAGGTTTAGATGACTGTTTGGCCTGAGAAACATCTCTGATCAAATGTTTAATTGGAAAATGTAAAGCATTTCATTGCATTGCTCAAAGGTTTTCTCATTTGGAATCATTTTGTGAAAATTCCAAACACCTGGAATACGCTCTTTCCATAACAATGCACTAAACACAGATGATGAATAACAAAAAAAGATTCACAACATCATTACATTAGTGTACTCATTATAATGTTGTTATTGTTAATTTATGTTACATGGTGAGGCATATTTAAATTAATATGTAATGTGTTTAATTTTCTTTTGCATCCTCTAACCCAGCTAACAAAAATATATTCTAAGAAAGTTTTGCGAACGTTCCCATTAGGTACTGAAAACCTTATTTCTAAATGTTCTTTTAACATTCAAAACGTCCAATCTTTTAGATTCAAAAAAATTTAATTCTTGGATATGCGGGAATGCTCTATTTCATCATTTTGCAAACATTACTGGAATGATGCGTTTGAATGTCCTCTGAACATTCTGAAACAAGTTTAGAAATGTTAGATGAACATCCAGATAATGTTTCAGAAAAATAACTTCAGAATTGTGTGCGTGATAACATTTTGAGAACATTATTAAAGACCAAATAACTTTAAACCAACATTCTATTAAAGGTGACATATCATGAAAACTGACTTTTCCAGGTTTTAAGTGCTATAATCAGGTCCCCGGTGCATCTACCAACCAAGGAAACGTGAAAAAGATTAACCCAGTAACTTTGTTTTGGTAATGCTTTTTCTGCAAGCGTCTGAGAAAACGAGCACGTCTGATTTCACTCCCCTAGTGACGTCACAAAGGGATCTCATTATAATATTACCGCCCCTTAATCTGTAAGTTTTCACCCACGGCGCCGTCATTTTGATTTCGCAAGCGACAACGGCGTACCAGTTCTAATACAATGGTGAAAGTTTGAGCAATACATGCTAACTGTTCTGTCTTTGGCTGCACAGACGAGCACAGAACACTATTTAGAGTCTCAGCCTCAGAGGAGACAACAGAGCAGTGGATCTATTGATTTATTTACTGTATATTGCTGCTGCCACACAGATCTAAAATAAACATGCGGTTTATTTCCCAGCTTTTTACCTTCACAGACATAACTGACTGTTTTTGTAACTCATGTGTGTTTTTAATGTAAACGTGTGTGTGAATGAGAACTTAGTTTAGTACTCGCATGCCGCTTTCTGTACGTGAGCACTTAGAAAATATCAGAAGTTTAAACTAATATTGTTTAAAACGCATGATTTCAGTGCGATAAACATGATAATCAGAACCAAAACAGAAATTTTTAGCAGGTACAAGCTGTAATGGCACAGCTCTATAAAAGGGGGCGGGGAGCAGCAGCTCATTTGCATTTAAAGAGACAGGCCAGAAACACAGCTTGTTTCTGCTTCTACTCAAAATAGGCATTTTCAAAATGATATAATAAATGATCTATGAAGTATTTTGAGCTGAAACTTCACAGACACATTCTGGGGAGACCAGAGACTTATATTACACATTGTAAAAAGGGGCATAATATGTCTCCTTTAATGTTATACTGGAAGAAAATTTGTTCAAAACTTTGAGAGAATCTAGCCAAAGTTCTAAGAATGTTCCTTGCTTGCTGTGAATGTTATTTACGCTGACTAAAAACAGATGCCATTTTAGTCAAGTAAAACTGATTAAAATGAATGAATAAGACATGATGGAATATTGACTAAATTTAAAGAATATGTCCGCCAAAAGGCAAAAAACAGACTAAAATTGAATGAAAAATGAACACTGGCTAAATTAAAGGGGTCTTTTTCATATCAGAAGAAAGTAACGCTGTTGATATATTAAAATATTTCATTTCAGATTTCTTTTTCCTATACATTCGCTTTTTTGTATAAGCCTTATTTATAGTTCCTAATATGTAGCATTGAGAGGGTAAAATGTGCTGTTGCTGAAACAAAGCATTCCAGAATGTCAGTCATAGCCTGCAGAGTCTGAAACTGATCCCTGTCACCCACAGCACAGCTGAAGATAAGAGCCTCGGCTTCTGGACATGCAAACACTTGTATAATACTTGCACTTGGGTCACGGGTCACATACGCTCACACCCGGGTCAGAAACCAACCGGGACTCAGGGGTGAAATGCCACCAAAAGTAATAAAAATGCCCCAGCTTTTGAAACTGTGGAAACATTCGTCTTTTTTTGTTGTTGTTGCCATCTTGCTATTTTTCTGTTGGTGCTGTTTTATAAAATATACAGCTCTATCCGTAAAGTGGAAAAATTGTTTATTCTCATTATCATTAATGATATATGTGACTATTTACTGAGCATCTGTTTCTGTTTTGTTAGTCTTTTATCAAATAGTGCTTGAGGCCAAGCATTTTTTTTAAGAAAGACTTTTTAATACTTTTATCCAGTAAAAACATTACATTGATTAAAAATGACAGTAAAAGACATTTATAATGTTACAAAAGATTCTATTTCAAATAAATTATGTTCTTTTGAAATGTCTATTAATCAAAGAATCCTTAAAAAAATGCATTATAGTTTACACAGAAATATTATGCGGCTCAGCTGTTTTCAAAATTGATTATAGTAATGTTTCTTAAGCAGCAAATCAGCATATTAGAATGATTTCTGAAGGATCATGTGACACTGAAGACTGGAGTAATGATGCTGAAAATTCAGCTTTGCATCACAGGAATAAATTAGATTTTAAAATATATTCAAATAGAAAAAAACTATTTTAAATTGTAATAATATTTTACAATATTACTATTTTTTTACTATATTTCTAATCAAATAAATGCTGCCTTGTTGAGCAAAAGAGACTTCTTTAAAAATCTTACTGACCTCAGACTTTTGAACAGTAGTGTATATACCAGATTTTTGTGGAAACTTTCTTTCAGAACGGCAGGGACGATCTCACTTCACATTGTGGTTGTATTTTAGGCCAGTGCAATACCCTGATGAACAGGACGGAGAGACGGGACAATGCTAAAGAAAAGACTAGATGAGGTCAGGCCCTCTGATCACCATGACAACCACCATAGCATCCAGTGGAATGTCTGAAGAAAGACTAAAGACTTGTAAAACTAACTCCACCCATATTCCCCATTGTTTGTCTCATCTCATATATCTCAAGTCTGCCTTGTGGCATAAAAGCCCAAACCAGGAGTAGCAAATCAGTAGAATAGTTCTGTCAGTATCTGTACATCCACATATCTATTCAAGTTCACTTCACAATGACTCGGGTCCAAAAAGCAGAACAAAATCATAAAAGTAATCCATATTTAGACTAGTGCGCTATATTGCACGTCTTCTGAAGTCATGCTATAGCTTTGTGTTTGCAATTCAGCAGTTCAGTTTCATGAAAAACAGTGGTTTAGTTGACAGTATTTTCCTTTGTGGATCAATTATTCTTTTAATGATCTGAATATAATATTTAGGCCTAAATTTATGATGTATGTATTTGAATTGCATATAAAATGTCCGTCCATTTGGATTGCACAGTAACTAACTTAATGTGATGCATCTTTGTCAGTCAGATGAAACAGTTAGGATTTCTGCACTAAAAAAAAAAAAATCAAGTAGTTTATTAACTATTTGCATTTTTGATTTTATGTAAATGATATTTTCAAAGTGCATTCCTTCAAATCACATTAAACTGTTAATTGTGAAAACAATTACAGAGCAGTTCAATAAGCAATATTCAATGAATTCAGTTGTATAAGATTGAAACAAATTGGACTAATTCATGATAAATATATAAACCTGGCTTCTATGTATTTAAAACATTCAGTTTTTTAGAAATCTTACCTACTTCATTTATAGTTGACTGACAAGTATGCATCACATTAGGTTTATATTATCTTAAAACTGTGTCGTCCAAATGGAAGGACATTTTATGTGCAATTCAAACACATAAATCTTACATTTAGGCCTAAATATCTTTTGAGAGTGGATTTTTTAAAAATGAAATAATTGGAAAAGGTACATGAGACATATCTATAGTGCAATATTGCAGTATGCTTTTAGGTTCACTCTTTTTGCAGTCTTGAGGGGAGACATGCAATACTACTAAAGAGTTCGGTGGGTCCTCCTCCCCTTAAAAGTGGGAGGGAAATGGGCTGCACACAGCCTGAGGACGCCGTCTACTTCTGTTGACTCAGGCAGAAGTGCACTTCACTTCAGAGCCTCCTTCATTCGCTCACACGTCACCTGAGGAACGCTGAGCTGCACACCTGCGCTGCTTGCTTGTGGCAAGAGGCTTTGCTGCCAAAGGTGAGTCCCTTTTCAACATCTAATAAAAATATGAGTGTTTCTTTTAATACTGTCTTTGAGCTTTGCATTTTTAGTCAGGTAATAAAGTCTCTATGGAAGGTAATATACTACCATAATGTACAGTACATGCCAAGCAGGTTTGTATAAAAATAATATCAGTGTGAATTATAGGTTTTATGTGCCCTTGGAAATCGTTAACGGTTTATTGATTCATGTTTGAGAAGAAATGTATTTATTTCAAAAGAAAATGAGAAAAAGTGTTTTGCATAAAGAAAATGAAAAATTATCTTTTTGTATCGCATGTGCATTATTTTCTCATGTCATTAAAGCATGCTTCCTCTACAAATGTTTTAATTTGCATTATTATAAATGTTTTGTAACATATTAAAGTAAAGGAAATCACAGTAAAATAATCAAAACAAATACTTTTAATGTTCTGTAAATACTTTAAAAAAAAATTCACAGTTATGAGAATGATTATATTATTATATAATATAATATTTTGATGACATTCCCATTTGCCGGATTTCTTATTGCCATTTTATTCATGCAATATATAATGTCTTATTTTCATCTTTTGGTTTTGGCATGAAATGTGATCTTGCAGAGAAAGAAAATTAGAAAAAAAATATCTTTGCATTGCATTATTTTTTAATGACATTTAAGCATGGCTTCCTCCACATTTTACAATTTTAAATTTGCATTATTATAAATGGTTTTGTAATGTACTAAAGTAAATATATCACACAATCAGTGGCCTTATAATAAGCTTAATTCTCTTCATGCAAAATCCTATTTTCGTCTTTTGATTTTGGCATGAAATGTGATCTTGCAGAGAAAGAAAATGTGCTTTACATAAAGAAAATTAGAAAAAATATCTTTGCATTGCATTATTTTCATGACATTTAAGCACTGCATCCTTCACATTTTTTATTTTTAAATTTGCATTATTATAAATATAAATTTTTTTTGGTAATGTGTTAAAGTAAATATATCACATAATCAGGGGCCTTAAAATAAGCTTAATTCTCTTTATGCAAAATCTTATTTTTGTCTTTTGATTTTTTGGTCAATTGTGATCTGGACATTTTCTTTTCAAGTTTTTGATAATGTACTAATATATTATTATTTTTGCAGGAGTGGCAGTCATGGCTCATACGTTGAGCTGGTCTCTGTTGTGTTTTGGTTTGCTGAGTGTTTGGGCTCAAGATTTCTATGAGGAAAAAACCAGGCCAACAAGAGTTAAGACCAGGGGACAGACGGCAGCTATTTTGCAAAGAAATGACGGTCAAGGTGAGGTGACTCATTCATTGTTAATATGTGACAGCATGTATGCATGCAAGTGAATTAATATTTTTTTGGTTTTTAAAACCCTCTTTACTCCACTGTGAAGATCCAATCAATTGGATTAAGTCCCGTCCTACATGTTTTCTCATTGAATATCCTGTTTCACTCAGTCACATTATGAGGCTAAAATGGGTTGCAAATGTGTTTCACGTTTCACGTTTCTGCTGGTTGTCCTTGACACCTAATAAGTGTCTTACCATGTATGTGCTATAAACTTATAGGTCACCTTCAGTACATCTCATGCGGTCTAAGAAACATAAAGCTAGTTTTATGCCTTAAAACATGCAATGTCATGTTACGACATACTAGACATAGCAGCATATTTAAAGAGCGTCTAGAAGGAGGATATGTCTGGATGTAGTGATTTTGGAGCCCTGAGGCATTCAGTTCTCCTAACATGAACATGATTTATTCATATCTGTATAAGACCCGGTAGGTCATGTCTTGTCAGCGGTGACATGAAGACTGATGAGCTGCTGTGTTGAAAGTAAGATCAGATGACAGATTGCATTGCTTCTTGAACCCAAAAAGGATCATTAGGATACTTAGAGGATTAAGATAACATTGACATTTTCTGAAACATCCTGGAATAATGTAACTTTTAAAAGAAATGTAGACAGATAGATAGCCAGATAGATGGCAGGGCTATTCAGAACTGAATTTGCTTTTTAAATTCCAGATTGAATTGAGGTTGTAAACAGGATGTGGAATTGGAATTTAATGAAGTATGACAAATGGAACGACACGCAAAGAAATGCATATTGATGCTGTCAGTCTACTTTTTGATTGCTTTTAATTATTTTCTAACTATACACTTTTAAATAAATTATATATATACTGTATATATACAGCATATATACACACACACACACACATACAGTATATATATATGTGTGTGTGTGTCCTGCTTAGAAATATGTATTTCCTGGCCATTATTTTGTGTGTGTATCAATTCACTTTTAGTTTTATAGATCACTTAATTTCCAACAATGATTTAATGTATTCACTACTTTATAAAATATTATATATGTAATGTATCTAATTTACTCCATATATCTTATATCTAATTTACTCAACATTTGATAAAATATTATATAGCTAATTTACCTAATTCACACAATATATCTAAAATATCTTATTTACTCAATATTTCATAAAATATAAATTTTTTCTTCATGCATTATGTTATCATACGCACAACATATTATATATGTCCAGAAACACACACACACACACAATTTTATTACTGACTATTATATTTTATTATTTATTATTTTCATAAAATATTTTATAGAACATTTAATTTCCCACAATTATCTAATTTACTCAATATAGTATAAAATATGATCTACTTTATCTAACTTACTCATATGTAATATATCTAATATATCAAATTTACTCAATATTTTATAAAATATTATATATTTATATATCAATTTCGATTATGTTATATACAAATTTTAATATTTTTATTTTTATAAATCCAAAAACAATGTGAAAACATTTTGTGGTTTTGATAGCTGTGCAAATTGATGACAATATTTAACTTAGTAAAGAGAAATATGTTTAATCATATTCTATATAACAGGGAATAAATTAATAATTAGTCAGTATAACTCAAGTATTTATGTTTTGTCACAAAACATATTATGGACTAATGAATTTCCTTTGTTGTTTGACTGTGTTGAATTTATTTGAATTTCCAATCGAATGAAAAGGGAGTCAGTTCTTAAATTTATAGCCAACTGTTTAATAGTTGAACTTTTCTTTAAAGCCGTTTTCTCTTTTTTCCCTCGCTGTGGCATCAGCCATCTTGGATGAGGACTGCAGTCTGGAGTTGGCCTTCCTGCTGGACAGCTCTGAGACGGCCAAGGACAACCACAAGCAGGAGAAACAGTTCACTATGGACATTATAGAAGGCCTCCAGAGCATCCGCTTGGATACAGATCGCAAACTCAGCTGGAGAGCGGCCCTGCTTCAGTACAGCAGCCACGTCATTATCGAGCAGACCCTCAAACAGTGGAAAGGCTCGCAGAACTTCAAGAGCAGCATCGCACCGATGGCCTACATCGGCCACGGCACTTTCACCACCTACGCCATCACCAACATGACCAAGATATTTGTGGAAGAATCGAGCCCAGAAAGCATCAAGATTGCCCTGCTCCTCACAGATGGGTCTTTTCATCCCAGAAACCCTGATATCTTCTCTGCTATGGCTGACGCAAAGAACCAGGGCGTGAAAGTCTTCACGATTGGCATCACCCGTAGCGCCAATGAACCTGCCAACACAGCAAACCTGAGACTGCTGGCCAGTACACCGGCCACCAAATTCCTCTATAATCTACAGGACACGAACGTCATGGAAAAAGTCATAATTCAGATTGTAAGTATGATGTCTCCAATCACTAATTCTGTCCTCATACTGTATGTACAGGCAGGCCCACACAAAATTCTCCACAAATTTCCAGAACTGCTCAAATTCTACTCATTCCAGCAACTTGAGTATTTGTAGTCTCGCATAGCAAGACTTTCAGACTGACGGCAGAAGGTCTGGGAACCTTGGCCGCTTTGAATGGCACCCAATCACGTTTCGGTTTGTGCCGCGTCATGTTTAGGGGCGTGGAAATGTCCCCACAATAACAAAACTCTTTGGTGTATTTTAAAAATTCTATGCCACAAACTTTAAATATTTCACATACTTTTAAAAATCCAGCGTTTAGTTGACCCTGATAAGAGCTCAGTATCACAGACTTTCTTCTAACATGAGGGGGTTTGGCGTCATGGCTTATTTGTTTCCAGGCAGAAAGTTAAAGAATGCGACACGCATGTCTCCAGGAAATCCCATATAATTCAACCAATCCGATGACGACTTCGAAACTCCCGAAGTGTTTCCAATTTTGTGTGCCATATGCATCAGACGTTCAGCCAACGGTCCATGGTGTGACGTCTGAGGCTGAGACTAGAATATTTGTGTATTCATTATTTTGGCTTCAGCTACCAATAAGGGTATATTCAGCTTCATGTATTAATTTTTAACATGTTTCAATCCATTCCACAGAATTCCACAGGGTTTTTTTTGTTTTTTTACCTAAAAGGAGTGCAGGAAATGCAAGAAGTCTCCAGATTCTCCAGAAGAGTAAAAGTTATAAGCTACTAACACTTCTCCAGCAGAGAAGTAGCCAACTACATAGCAGAGTCCTTTTTTACACATTTGGGTATACAGATTTGATCCCATTTCAATTCACAAGCTTTCATTTTTATTTGTCTTGATTCTGATTAAAAATTTGTGCATATTTTAGTTTTATTGTCCATTAGTAGATTACAAAATCATTCAATATCATACATTTTCACAAAGCCAATTAATAATATAAGCTTGAAAATGAGTGTAACTTAATGTTGAAGGGTTCAGTGTGTGCATTTAGAGGATCCGTTAGATTGATTCAAACGGTAGCTACAGTAACTACTGTTTTAGTAGTTTCATTTAAAAAATGTAATTTTTTTTGTTTGTTTTTTGGCACTGGTTATTGGTTGCGCTGTATGTTTTTGATTCACTAAATAGAACCAGTTCAAAAAAGTCATCGTGTATCAGTTATCGGGTCTACACTAGTCGGTCGCATTCATTCCAGTCAAAGTTCCAGTTCAACTTAACGTAGGATGTGGCCAATTCATTTCAAATTCACACTCATGTCTCAGTTCTTAAAATTCTAAAAATGACTAACTGTTATGTACTGTTTCTGTTAGTTTTATTTTCTTTTACATTATTATTATTATTCCATCACGTGATTGTAACTTGATGAAAAATCCAGTGAGTTCATTCATATGATTCCTCAGACTGATTCAGACATCTGAATCTTTTTAAATGATTCATTTAAAGAAACAAGTCGACTCATAAGACTCATTATTTGTTGTGATGGCTATTAATTGCGCTGTTAGTTTGCTTTTGATGTGCTAAGAATCATAGAAATTCAAGAGTTATTCTCTTGGAGTCAGGTTGCACTAGTCGATGATGCTGCGCTGTACAATATGGCGTGGACCCAGCGATGATAACTCAATAGAAATATGTATTTTCAGGCCATTATTTCGTGGTACATGGCCTTTTCATTTTAGAACATATTCCGAATAGGAATTTCCGATTGCAAATTCTGGTTAACTTCTTCTGGTGTGACGATCAACGTCTGTTGTGTCAGTTATATGTCAGTAATAATATGCTGTGCTTGTGAAAAAAAAAAACTGGTTTGCTGGTCTTAGTTGGTCACCTGATTGTTGGTTTCTTCTGGTCAGGTTGGCTGGTTTTAGAGAGGGACTTGTTAGCTATTCTGGCTGGGAGACCTGTTAAACCAGATAAGACCAGCTAACCATATTTGGTCAAGTGTTTGACATGTAGAACATAAAGAAGATAAAATAATTATGTGCTGCTAGTGTTTTGGGACCCCTGACACCTAACAATTAGCCTTTCTACATTTACTATAATTACAGGTGCATCAATGTTTGTGGCTTACCCTCCTTGTGAAGGGTGTCAATGATTGTCTTCTGGACAACTGTCAGATCAGCAGTCTTCCCCATGATTGTGTAGCCTAGTGAATCAAACTGAGAGACCATTTTGAAGGCTCAGGAAACCTTTGCAGGTGTTTTGAGTTGATTAGCTGATTGGCATGTCACCATATTCTAATTTGTTGAGATAGTGAATTGGTGGGTTTTTGTTAAGTGTGAGCCAAAATCATCACAATTAAAAGGACTTAAACTACTTCAGTCTGTGTGCATTGAATTTATTTAATACATGAGTTTCACAATTTGAGTTGAATTACTGAAATAAATGAACTTTTCCACGACATTCTAATTTATTGAGATGCACCTGTAGAGTAAACACGTCCTGTTGTGGCTTTTCTGAAATGCATCTAGGTTTATATATTCCATAAATCTCCAATGTAAAGCAAGACTAGGCATGTTAAATGATACTGCTTCCTTTAATCACATTTGTTGCTCAAAAATGAAAATTAGGCTGTGTTTTACTCACCCCAGAGCCATCCTAGGTGTATATGACTTTCTTCTTTCAGACGAATCCAGTCAGAGTTATATTAAAAATAGTCTTTGATCTTTCAAGCTGTTTAATGCCACTCAGCGGGTGTTGCATGCATCAGTCCAAAAGAAGTTAAATAAAAATCCATACAAAATGTCTCACACGGCTCAGAGGGGGTGAACAAAGACCTCCTGCAGCAAATCGATGTGTTTTTGTACGAAAAATATCCATATTTAAAATGTAATAATCACTTTAATGTAGCTTGCGTCAACAGTCCTACACAGAAGCAGCTCCGGGCGGATGACGTATGAGTTCAGCGTTGCGCATGCGCCGCTCAGAAGTGACGAACGTGGAAGCGCAGGGGAGAGATCAAAGCAAAACAATGGTCACTTATTAGAAGTACAAAACGAGGATTTGTAAAGAAGAATGTCGGAGGATTTCAATATAAGCCAAAAGGAGACTGGTTTTCCTTTGCTAAAGTAAGGAAACTTTGCTTCCTTTGCTCCTGTTAACAAACGTTGGTTTTCACGAGACTCACCGGCGCATGCGCAACGCCGACATCTTACGTCATCCTCCCAGAGCTGCTTCCGTGTACAACTGTTGGCGCAAGCTACATTAAAGTGATTATTACGTTTTGAATATGGATATTTTTCTTATGAAAATGCATCGATTCGCTACAGAAGGTCTTTGTTTCAGCCCCCGGAGCCGTGTGAGACACTTTTTTTATGGATGGGCACTTTTTATTTAACTTCTTTTGGACTGAGCACTGCAACACCCGCTGAGTGCCATGAAAGATCAAAGACCATTTTTAATACAACTCCGACTGGATTCGTCTGAAAGTCATATACACCTAGGATGGCTCTGGAGTGAGTAAAATACAGCCTAATTTTCATTTTTGGGTGAACTAACCCTTTAACTGTTCATACTGTTTACCCAAATCACAAAAATGAAAGCCTTGCCATTGCCAAAGAGCAGTAATTATAATCTAATATACCAGCTATTGTTTGAACTAAATCTAATTTTCTTGTTGTTACATCTCTACACAGGCTCAGCTGGCAAACGATGGGGTAAGTAAATAATATTTCAAGTCTTTTATGGTAATATGCATTACTGCAGTGTTAAAGAATAGCTTACTATCCTCCCAAACTCTGTAATAGTGAACCATTTCTTTCGGATTAGCAAATGAAATGAACTGATTTGAAAAATGATTCACTGATGCGAGTCTCTGCACAGAATTATGTATATAAATGTTTGGAAGTTTTTGTGTGTATTTATGCCAGAAAGAATATTTTCCCCATCTCAGCCTTATTGAAACACAAAACGAAAACAAAAACAAAAACCGATTTTTTCATTTACACGCTTTTCTCTATATTTAGTGTCCTCTGTCCCCAAAGTGTGCTTGCGAGAAGGGCGAGAGAGGACTCAGTGGCCCGGCTGTAAGTATTTTCATTTTAAACTTCCTTCAACATGGGACGGTGTTTCCAGGCCAGACCACAGGTGCATTTTTCTCCTCTTTTTCTGTTCCTAAGAGGAACGGATTCCTTTGATGAATGTCAGCAGTGGGAAAAGACAGGCATGATTCTGACAGTTTGGATAACTGCTTTGTTTTGTAAAAGTCAGGATAATTATTGTCTTTGTCAGGACCCCTCAGCACTACCTTGGGGAAAACACAAAATAAGATTCCTCAAAAGAAGTCTCCTTCATGTTGAGTCTGTTGAAACGGAAGACAATGTAATTGCATGTTTTCGCTGAAAAGCTTGACTTTAAAACACTTACGGGTCCAAATTTAACATTATGCCACACCTGCCAATAATGGGTTAATAGCCTTAGTAATGTATATATTTTTGTCCCTATAACTGCAGTTATTTAGCATTCTTTCCTTGCATTTTTTTAAAAACACAACGCATGCCATTGTATCACTTGCAGAAATATATGCAGTCTTCAAAGTTACTAGTTGAGTTTGATAAAATAGATGCATTGAACAAGTTCAGACTGACTTGAGATGAAATTATATGAAACTGATTGCTCTTTTAACATGGTTTATAAAACTAAACTGTAGTGTGTAGAAGGGCGGATCATGTTAGAGACAGTTATTCATTGACAGATGCCTAACCGTCATTATCCAGTGCTGTCACAACACAATTATCTAAAATGTGTCCCCAAATAGAAGCTAGGTTAGAAACGTAAACAAAAGTAAAGTAAACAAAAATTGAAATAAAGCTGAAATAATCAAATAAAATCTAAATGAAAATTGTTTAAAAAATGTAACAAAAATAAGAAATGTTGACTTGGCAAATTTTAGGCTGAAGTACTGAAATGACTAAAAATAAAACTGAAATAAAAATAAAAATGAAATAAAAAACTAAATCAATACAAATGACAAAAACTCATAACAGACTCATGACAAACTTAAAAATGACGAAACTAAAATTTAAATGACATATATAAGAAAATATAAGCAAATAAAATCATTCAAAATATGATTAAATATTAAAATACTATATGCATAATGCTAAAATAACACTTGACATAAAAAGAAATAACTAGGGGTGGCTTTCCCAACTGTTATGTGTCCTCTATGTAAGTTAAAGGGACAGTCCACCCAGATATGAACATAAAAGAAGAAAGTTTCTGGTCCCATTGACTTCCATAGCATTTTTTGTCTATAATGAAAGTCAATGGGACCTGAAACCATTTGCTAACCGACATTCTTCAAAATATCTTCTTTTGTGTTCCACAGAAGAACGAAATGCATACAGGTTTTAATTTTGGGATGGACTATCCGTTTAAGTGCAGGCACTGAATTTTGATTGGTTAGCTTTATGGGTCTAATAAAGCCATCAGAAATATGAGATCAATCATTTTTTTCACTCTTTGAGCAAACATTTTGAGTGGTATTGACACTGCTGCTCACTTTCCCCTGCAGGGAAAGAAGGGTCGTCCAGGTGAGGACGGAGCCGCTGGGGCTAAAGGTCAAAAGGTCAGCATTTTGTTTTCATTACTGCCGTCTATCTGTCATTCTCTCTGGTGTGTGCTTGCTTCTGTGGATGCACATGGGAAATGTGATGAGGAAGCTGATGGCTAGTTATATTGTTGTGTATTTGTCTCTTCATATTTCTACTTTAGATTTCGTAACACTTTCTCAGATTGAACAGTACAGGAATCAAGACTGACAGACTGTATTCTATAACGCTTTTTGAAAAACACTTGTTTTGTGCTCTTGTTAGGGTGCAGCTGGTTTGAGTGGACTTCCTGGTCGTGAGGGTACAGAGGTGAGGGGCTGATGGGTGGGACACAAAATCACTACTTACGCTTCATTAAATAACTAAAAAACTATTTGGGTAAAATTAAAAGTATGTACAAAAAAAAAGACAAAGAAAAAAATGTCTTCTAAACTTCAAATGTCAGGTGGTGTAATCATCAAAACAATAGTAATTAAATATTGTACACAACTGTACACAAATAATTTTGTAAAAAAAAGTATTTTTTTATTTTACAATGAAATGCGAGTGTGCGGTCCTTCGCTTTTTAATATGCAAATGTGGTTTGATCCAATTACAGAATGTTTTCGAGCCGTTTACACCTGTATTTAGCATAGTATTTAGATCACCTGAAACAGATGTTTCTATGTATTTCAAACTAAAAACATACTATTCATTTACTTTAAACTAAACGTGAGAGCTTATTACCATGGAAGCTTGTTTCCAAAACAGGATTAAAATATATCAAATGGATTTGCAATTTGAACTTTTTTAGTCATTCTGAGTTTCTCACAATTCAAACTTTTTCTTGCAATTCTGAGAAGAAGAAAAAAAACAGAATTGTGAGACGTAAACTCAGACCTGCAATATGTAAACTTAGAAATGTGAGATATAAACAGAATTTGGAGTTGATATCTTGCAATAATGAATTGTGAGAGAAAAAGTCACAGTTATTACCAATTTTTGATCCTGTGGCGGAAATCGGCTTCAATATATTTCAAAGCAGTAAATGTTAAAACACATGTTGAATTTCAAACAACATATGATTAAACTTATATTTTACTGTATTATAAAGCAGCATAATGCTTTGGTTGTCTACAGATAATGTTAGACAGCCCTAAAAACTCAAATGTTCATGCTAGACACTGTAACATACCATTTCATGTTTCCCCTGCAGGGTTTACCAGGACCACAGGGTGACATCGGACCAGAAGGCCCACAGGGAAAGAAGGTCTGTGGCTTATAATCACAAACCATTATCCTGAAAATTTCAGATCATCACGTTTAACACAGACACCTGGAAAAGTTTCACTGTCTCCAGAAGCCATTGCATATTCGGCATGTTATTGTGCATGAGAAAACCCATGCACTGGAGGCTTGTTTGTTTGCTACATCCATTAGATAAATTGATGTTTAAGCCAAAGTGAATGAGAAATATTGATGCATTCACATTTCTTTAGAAGGAATTATCATTCATATCTATTTTCGACTAAATGATGCACTCTATTGGAAACAGGAGGTGCAGAATAGAGACAGATTTTAGATTTTACTCCATTATGTTGACATGAGTATGATTTTATGTAAATATTTTATGCATCCCTTTACAGTGAATTTGAGATTTTCTTACTAGTTTTATCATGACTTTAGAGGAACAGTTCTTCCAAAAATGTATTTCTTTCTTTATTTACTCCTCCACATGTTGTTCTAAACTCGTATGCTATTATTTTTTTCTGTGTAATACAAAGTAAATAACAAACAAATAATCAAAAGTTAATAAAAAGTTAAATTTGTTTACATACAGAAAGCTATAGACCTTAATCCACTCCAGTCCATCAGTTAACTTGTGAAGCGAAAAGCTTTGTAAGAAACAAATCCATCGAGACAATTTAACTATAAACTTCTGGCCAAAATACAAGTCCATAATCCATAATAACACTTCTACAGATGCTACTTGTGCACCCTTAATATGGACAGGTGTAAAGAATTTAATGGTTAATTCCCCAATTACAAAGACTACTTTTAGTAGTTTTGAGGTGATATATATATATATATATATATATATATATAGTATTAGTGTCGTCATTTGCATATACATCATATATCTTTCTGAAAAGGTACTTTCCTGGTTAAATTCATCATAAGCTCTATTCACAGCATCTGTGGCTTGCTGTCGATTTCCAAAGAAATAAATTCAACTCATTGACAGTCATGTGCTTTCAGTGGAAGTGGATGTCTGTCAGCACCATTTTAAGTTATGTTTTTACAAACTGAGGGACAAGTTGAAATTGTTTTCATTGATAATCAACAGCATGTCACAGATACTGTACATACAGATTAAGTTATACTGAACACAGAACATTCCTTTAATGTTTCTCTGAGATGACAACTTAAATTTAAAGGGGAGGGTTCACCCAAAAATGAAAATGTTTCTTTCTTCTCTTGAACACAGTAGAAGGTATTTTGAAGAATGTTGGAAAACAGTTGCTGGTAGCCATTGACTTCCATAGTATTTTAAAAAAGCTACCAGAAACTGTTTGATTAACATTCTTCAAATGAAAGAAACAGGTTTGGTATACAACGAGAGTGAATAAATTATGGCAAAATTGTCGTTTTTAGGTGAACTTTCCCTTTAAATAAATACATACCTGAGACCTGATTTCTCTAATTTTTCACCTTAAAGGAGTCATCGGATGCCCATTTTCCATAAGTTGATATGATTCTTAAGGGTCTTAATGAAAAGTCTATAGTATACTTTGGTTAAAATTTCTCAATAGTAGTGTAAAAAACACCTTTTTTACCCTGTCAAAAACAGCTCTGTTTTCAGCAAGCCATTCTAGTCCATGTTGCTTTAAATGCTAATGAGCTCTGCTCACCCCGCCCCTCTCTTCAGTGTAAACTTCAGCCATGAAACAATTGGCTAGCTAGCACGTTATTAGGAAAGGCGATTTGCAAAGATTCATAAAAAACCCTTATAGACCAATTTGGAGTAGATGTCACTGTTACCTCACTTGCAGCTGCACGCGCATAGTGGTGGCAGAAAAACAAGAAAAAATGTCTTGTTGTGCCTTTGGATGTCAGAATCAGAATGCAAATAATTTTTATATAATACTGTCATCAAAGATGCCATTTGAAGCTAAACGCAGACGTTTAAATGGACAGACTATGGATGAAACCTGCTATGATTACCTTACTTTTAAAGCATACATTTTATTTAAACAATAGGTCTATATAATATTCATATAGGGAACATACTGCATTAGCCCTACAGTTGAAATACATGCATGAAATACTATTTAAACCTATAACATTTTACATAACATTTACCTATTTTATCTCACAATTCAGACTTTTTTCTTGCTTCCTAGTTCAGACTTTATAACTTTATTCAAGTAATCAATTGCGAGTTTGTCAATTCTGAGGAAAAAAAGCCAGAAGTGTGGGATTATAAACTAAAAAGAAAGAATGACAAGTTGATTTTTCTTACCAGAATTGTGAGATATAATCTCAGAATTGCAAGAAAAAAGTCAGAATTTTGAAATATAAACTCAAAATAATTTTTTTTATTCTTTTATTCCATGGCTTGAATTGACTGCTACGTTAAAATGGTCATTTTCTGCCACCACATAGGCTCCGCCCACAAAAACGTCATCACTGTTTGCAAACACTGAAATTGGTCTATAGAGGTGATCGTGCACTGTTAATACAAACAACAGTAAATAACACTGACACGTTTCACACAGAGAGCTTGCTGAAAACACAGAAGCTAATGTTGCTTGTTTCGGATGCGCTTTTAAGCATTGCATCACTTGCTCACCAATGGATCCTCTGCAGTGAATGGGTGCCGTCAGAATGAGAGTCCAAACAGCTGATAAAAACATCACAATAATCCACAAGTAATCCACACCACTCCAGTCCATCAGTTAACTTGTGAAGCGAAAAGCTTTGTAAGAAACAAATCCATCGAGACAATTTAACTATAAACTTCTGGCCAAAATACAAGTCCATAATCCATAATAACACTTCTACAGATGCTACTTGTGCACCCTTAATATGGACAGGTGTAAAGAATTTAATGGTTAATTCCCCAATTACAAAGACTACTTTTAGTAGTTTTGAGGTGATATATATATATATATATATATATATATATAGTATTAGTGTCGTCATTTGCATATACATCATATATCTTTCTGAAAAGGTACTTTCCTGGTTAAATTCATCATAAGCTCTATTCACAGCATCTGTGGCTTGCTGTCGATTTCCAAAGAAATAAATTCAACTCATTGACAGTCATGTGCTTTCAGTGGAAGTGGATGTCTGTCAGCACCATTTTAAGTTATGTTTTTACAAACTGAGGGACAAGTTGAAATTGTTTTCATTGATAATCAACAGCATGTCACAGATACTGTACATACAGATTAAGTTATACTGAACACAGAACATTCCTTTAATGTTTCTCTGAGATGACAACTTAAATTTAAAGGGGAGGGTTCACCCAAAAATGAAAATGTTTCTTTCTTCTCTTGAACACAGTAGAAGGTATTTTGAAGAATGTTGGAAAACAGTTGCTGGTAGCCATTGACTTCCATAGTATTTTAAAAAAGCTACCAGAAACTGTTTGATTAACATTCTTCAAATGAAAGAAACAGGTTTGGTATACAACGAGAGTGAATAAATTATGGCAAAATTTTAATTTTTGGGTGAACTTTACCTTTAAATAAATACATACCTGAGACCTGATTTCTCTAATTTTTCACCTTAAAGGAGTCATCGGATGCCCATTTTCCATAAGTTGATATGATTCTTAAGGGTCTTAATGAAAAGTCTATAGTATACTTTGGTTAAAATTTCTCAATAGTAGTGTAAAAAACACCTTTTTTACCCTGTCAAAAACAGCTCTGTTTTCAGCAAGCCATTCTAGTCCATGTTGCTTTAAATGCTAATGAGCTCTGCTCACCCCGCCCCTCTCTTCAGTGTAAACTTCAGCCATGAAACAATTGGCTAGCTAGCACGTTATTAGGAAAGGCGATTTGCAAAGATTCATAAAAAACCCTTATAGACCAATTTGGAGTAGATGTCACTGTTACCTCACTTGCAGCTGCACGCGCATAGTGGTGGCAGAAAAACAAGAAAAAATGTCTTGTTGTGCCTTTGGATGTCAGAATCAGAATGCAAATAATTTTTATATAATACTGTCATCAAAGATGCCATTTGAAGCTAAACGCAGACGTTTAAATGGACAGACTATGGATGAAACCTGCTATGATTACCTTACTTTTAAAGCATACATTTTATTTAAACAATAGGTCTATATAATATTCATATAGGGAACATACTGCATTAGCCCTACAGTTGAAATACATGCATGAAATACTATTTAAACCTATAACATTTTACATAACATTTACCTATTTTATCTCACAATTCAGACTTTTTTTCTTGCTTCCTAGTTCAGACTTTATAACTTTATTCAAGTAATCAATTGCGAGTTTGTCAATTCTGAGGAAAAAAAGCCAGAAGTGTGGGATTATAAACTAAAAAGAAAGAATGACAAGTTGATTTTTCTTACCAGAATTGTGAGATATAATCTCAGAATTGCAAGAAAAAAGTCAGAATTTTGAAATATAAACTCAAAATAATTTTTTTATTCGTTTATTCCATGGCTTGAATAGACTGCTACGTTAAAACTGTCATTTTCTGCCACCACATAGGCTCCGCCCACAAAAACGTCATCACTGTTTGCAAACACTGAAATTGGTCTATACTCACTTCTTCTGTTGATGAAGCTGGATGAAATTCTTATAAGAAACTCTTGAAATGTCTTGAGGTTCTGTATGAATCTATGTGAGATTTCACACAATGAGAAATGTCTTCCATGAGAAATAATGAATGTGATCTATCTAATCAGTTGTTTTTGTTTGTAATTAATCACAGGGTGAGCGTGGCCCTGCTGGCCCACCTGGAATTCAGGGCGACAGTGGAATTGGACTTCCTGGACCAAAGGTCAGCTGTATTTACTTTTTTGAATGCAAATCCACTAAAAACGTTACTGGCTTTAGTGGGTTTTACCAGCTAAACCAACATAACAACAGCTTGGCTGGTTTAAGATGTTTTTATTTTCCCTTTAACTTTCCATGGTCAGTGAGCCACTTTAACCGAGAACCCTATAAAACCTACTGTATCATATTTGATACACAAATTTTTGAGGCCTCTAAATGATCAACATGATCAAAACTTTGCTTAAAAACCTGTTGCACACAATCTACTACATGCCATCCGATTAATAGTTTATACTTTTTTAGCAAGTAAAAGGCGTTTTAGTATAATTGTAAAAATGTCCAACATCAGGTCATGTTTCGCGTGTATTTTTGCTGTGAAAACGTTATTGATTTTTATACAGTAAACGTAAGAATAGCTTTTATATTGTTAGTAACATTTCAAGATGAACATTTACTGAACTGAAGCAACTTAGGTTTACTTAATTATCCATACATCATTTATTAGAAAAAATCATATTAATAATGTATCAAATATTGGGCTTTTGAGGAACATTTATTTGTTCATCTCTCAATCATCATTGTATTGCATTGCATTATATGTATATTGAAACTACAGAGCATTGATCATCAAAATAAGCATTTGAATACCATCTTACTAAGACATATTATTGGGAGATATAGAGAAATGGACAGACTATGGATGAAACCTGCTATGATTACCTTACTTTTAAAGCATACATTTTATTTAAACAATAGGTCTATATAATATTCATATAGGGAACATACTGCATTAGCCCTACAGTTGAAATACATGCATGAAATACTATTTAAACCTATAACATTTTACATAACATTTACCTATTTTATCTCACAATTCAGACTTTTTTTCTTGCTTCCTAGTTCAGACTTTATAACTTTATTCAAGTAATCAATTGCGAGTTTGTCAATTCTGAGGAAAAAAAGCCAGAAGTGTGGGATTATAAACTAAAAAGAAAGAATGACAAGTTGATTTTTCTTACCAGAATTGTGAGATATAATCTCAGAATTGCAAGAAAAAAGTCAGAATTTTGAAATATAAACTCAAAATAATTTTTTTATTCGTTTATTCCATGGCTTGAATAGACTGCTACGTTAAAACTGTCATTTTCTGCCACCACATAGGCTCCGCCCACAAAAACGTCATCACTGTTTGCAAACACTGAAATTGGTCTATACTCACTTCTTCTGTTGATGAAGCTGGATGAAATTCTTATAAGAAACTCTTGAAATGTCTTGAGGTTCTGTATGAATCTATGTGAGATTTCACACAATGAGAAATGTCTTCCATGAGAAATAATGAATGTGATCTATCTAATCAGTTGTTTTTGTTTGTAATTAATCACAGGGTGAGCGTGGCCCTGCTGGCCCACCTGGAATTCAGGGCGACAGTGGAATTGGACTTCCTGGACCAAAGGTCAGCTGTATTTACTTTTTTGAATGCAAATCCACTAAAAACGTTACTGGCTTTAGTGGGTTTTACCAGCTAAACCAACATAACAACAGCTTGGCTGGTTTAAGATGTTTTTATTTTCCCTTTAACTTTCCATGGTCAGTGAGCCACTTTAACCGAGAACCCTATAAAACCTACTGTATCATATTTGATACACAAATTTTTGAGGCCTCTAAATGATCAACATGATCAAAACTTTGCTTAAAAACCTGTTGCACACAATCTACTACATGCCATCCGATTAATAGTTTATACTTTTTTAGCAAGTAAAAGGCGTTTTAGTATAATTGTAAAAATGTCCAACATCAGGTCATGTTTCGCGTGTATTTTTGCTGTGAAAACGTTATTGATTTTTATACAGTAAACGTAAGAATAGCTTTTATATTGTTAGTAACATTTCAAGATGAACATTTACTGAACTGAAGCAACTTAGGTTTACTTAATTATCCATACATCATTTATTAGAAAAAATCATATTAATAATGTATCAAATATTGGGCTTTTGAGGAACATTTATTTGTTCATCTCTCAATCATCATTGTATTGCATTGCATTATATGTTTTGAAACTACAGAGCATTGATCATCAAAATAAGCATTTGAATACCATGTTACTAAGACATATTATTGGGAGATATAGAGTGAAAGCTGATATTTCTATGCATTTTATGCAATTAGTCTGTTACTGTTATAAAGATCTCATTTACCTGTATATTTCAAGCCATCAGAATTCATTTTCACTTTTTGGCCATATAAATATCAGCATCTGCACCAAAATGCCTATTTTTCGGCCTCTGAATAAAAGGTGTTGTTCCTCCTCAAGTATGAGCTCCATATTCTCCTATATCATATGAGCCATAAAGCCTGATGTATCAAAAATGATACACAACAAAAAATATATAAACTTTTTTATACTTCTTTATAATTTGTCTAAAGGTTTCATGTCAGGCCTGCAGGGTTAATTTCTCAATATTTCCATTGTGCATTTTTTAGATGACATGGATGGTACTGGTTGTGGATTCTCAGATATGCTGTTATTTTCTATAGCGATTTTCTTACTTATTCTCCTGAATTGTTCACGTCTTTGATCCGTCTGCAGGGCGATATGGGATTTCAGGGGAGACCAGGTCCTTCGGGTCCACCTGGCATAGGCGAGCCAGGCCTGTCTGTAAGTATAGAAGCAGAAATTCAGAAATATTCAACTGTATACTAATCAGCACACACTGAATTTACACCCATAGATTTGACTATATGCCATTTTTCCTTCATCAAATCAGGGGCCTCAAGGGCCACAGGGGGTTCAAGGGGAGAAAGGACCACTAGGAGAGGGTTTTCCAGGTCCAAAGGTAAGGTTAGCCCAAAAACGCCATGTTCTCACTAAAGTCACTCTCTGCTCTTTAATCTACCTGGAGATGTGAAGCAGCCAAAGGCAATCTGAGAAGATCCAAGTAAACAAATGCATTAAAGACTTGTAATATTTATAATACCTCATTAGAGGCTCAAAGTTTCCTGGTAAATCTTCATTTCAAAACCCAAGGCTATTAATTATTGTATGTTCCAGATCAATTAGCTGAGCGCATTACCAGCCTGAGGATGCAAGACAGAATTTAATGGATTCGTTTTCTTGGACCTCTATAAATACTTTTTGTAATCTGTCTAATGTTAGCAGTCTAACTAGGTCTACATCAAAGCCAGAACTGCATATAAAATGTAATCGTAAATTGAAAATACAGCAAAGAAATGTGATTCATTTTAAAGAGAACCTCAGTGCTTTGAAAACCTTCATCCAGTAGCTAAACTAAATTAGATCTCAATTCTGTTTGTATAGTCAAATTTGCTAATTCACGAGATCAATACATCCTTTATTAGACCGCTTTGTCGAGTTAAATGCATCCTTACGGAGGTGTCGAAATGCTCAATCAATTCATTCACTTCCAACAGCGCCAACAGCATCATAGAGAGCAGAACGTCACGTTATTTAAAGGGGACGTTAACGAGTAGCAAATGATTAAGTAGCTGCATTGGTTACTTTTATGCCACTGATAAAGCTTTTATATGTAGTTTGGGGTAACAAAGCGGTTTTATAGGTTTGACTGAAATAATAATGCAATAACTGACACTTTAAATCAATGTTTCAAGAAACAACAACAAAACTGAACAAAAAACAGATAAAGACAAAAAAGTAACCATTGATAATATCTCAACAATATGGAGTAGTATAGTATATAGTATCCAAATCAAAATGTAATAAAATCAATTTATGTATGATTTATTTGTAAATTATGTGCAATGTCTTAGCCACTAGGGATTGTTACATAGGGCTATACATGCATGTAGTGGCAACACAATGATATTACAGATACTAAATTGTGCAAAATGTTTATCTTAACAGTCAATTTACAAATAATGCATTCAGATTTGTGGAGCTCAATGCACTGAATCTCCACAAATTAGTGTCGTTACTATGACAACCAATTTGAATGTGACAAGCAACTAGTGTCTGAAAATAATTATATATAGTGAGCAATAGGGATTTCGCCTAGAGCGTCAAATTGGCTAGAAACGGCCCTGATGATGATGCAAATCAAGTTTTTAATGAATCTGAAATGATTCACAGGAATGAACTGAACCAGCTCTAACACCATTTTTGCTTCTGAAGTTAATTATTAAAACATACCCATGAGATATCTTAAGTACAGTTTTCTTTCCTGTGTTGACAAATGTTGGGCCGGAGCATATTGAAGGGTTCGTCCATTTCTTTAAATAGCCAACAGGCTTTACTTTACCTCATAGACATGAATTACAATTTGCTACTTGTTATTACAAATCAGTGTCAGGTGGTATTAGGAGGAGGGGAGGAACATTTTTAAGATGTGTCATCAATATTTTTTACCTATTTTTCCAGAGAAAGAAATGTATTGCTTTGGATTCATAAGTGCTCTAGATATATCAAATGCATTTTGGACATTATCATAACATTTTATAATAGTCCTTTATCATTATCATTAAGGGAATTATTGCAAAAATTATAACACTTGACTTCTATCAATGTTTAGTTTCTCCAATCAGTTTATTTTTCTGCTAACATTTACCAATTAAATGCATGTGACGATAAGAAATAATAAGCAGTGTTATCGTTGACTGCAAATAAAACCATTAAAAATTGTTTTCAGTAATTGCAATAAAGCTGAAATAAAAAAGTACGTTTAAGAAAAATTTGAACTTAAAACAAAAAAAGCTAGTAAATATGTTTAAGTACTAAATGTACTAAAACTAAATAAATGTTTATTTTTTAAAAATGTTTATTATTTATAAATATATTTATAATATTATAAATAAAAGTTTGTTTAAAATATTAAGTTGAAGTACAAAAAATGACTAAAACTAAATTAAATATGAAAAAATTAAAAATAAATTAAATTAAAAATAAAAGCTAATTTAAAATATTAACAATATCACTGGAATTCATTGCAGGTGAAGATTTCATTTTAATTACTAGAAATTAAGTCAACACAAGTCAAATTTAAAATAAAACCAAGATCAACAAATCCTGGATTGGCTCTAATTGAATCCTTATGAGTGCAACCTAATCGAGCCACTTTGTATAAACAACAATTAAGGCTCACTGAGGAATTGCACTGTATTATTACCAGTTGGGAAAACAGGTGTTTTCTAAATCTCATAGACGAAGAAACAATACATGCAGTGCAGTAAATGCATCTGAATGGCAGAGAAAGGGAGGTTAGCATTTCAGCAACACTGGGCTGATGACGCCTCTTTTGTTTGACAGGGGGACCGTGGTCTGGAGGGGCCAAAGGGACCAAGAGGACAGCAGGGCACTGGAATCAAAGGCGACAAGGTGGGCTATAAATATATCAGCCCATGAATGGAATTCACATAACCACGCCATCTATGACACACAAAAGGCTTAATGAAGATTGTAAACTGGCCCAAAGTTCCCATTTAAACACCAGGGACTGATTGGACGGTAATAAAGAGCGAGAAAGAGCAGATGGGAGGGCGGTACAGCTCAGCTTACTGTGGGAAAAGATGAGTCCTGCTCACCTATAGTACTGAATAAAACCACAGTCATTTCTTATACTCAAAATATACAGATTATTATTCCCGTCAGTTAAATCTCAGGATGTATTAATCTATCTGAAACTGACTCATCCTCTTTATGTCTTCAGGGTGAGCTTGGGCCTCCAGGTTTACCAGGACCGATTGGACTCCCAGGGCTTGGCATTCAGGGAGAAAAGGTGATATGATGATGATATGACTGACCGGCAGCCATATCACCCTGTAGCCCAAGACTGGTTGCCCACTGAAGCTAAGCAGGGCTGAGCCTGGTCAGTACCTGGATGGGAGACCTCCTGGGAAAACTAGGTTGCTGCTGGAAGAGGTGTTAGTGAGGCCAGCAGGGGGTGCTCACCCTGCGGTCTGTGTGGGTCCTAACGCCCCAGTATAGTGACGGGGACACTATATTGTCAAAAAGCACCGTCTTTCAGATGAGACGTTAAACCGAGGTCCTGACTCTCTGTGGTCATTAAAAATCCCAGGATGTCTTTCGAAAAGAGTAGAGTTGTGACCTCGGCATCCTGGTCAAATTTGCCCATTGGCCTCTGGTCATCATGGCCTCCTAACAATCCCCATGTCTGCTGATTGGCTTCATCACTCTGTCTCCTCTCCACCAGTAAGCTGGTGTGTGGTGGGCGTTCTGGCGCACTATGGCTGCCGTCGCATCATCCAGGTGGATCCTGCACACTGGTGGTGGATGAGGAGATACCCCCTGACAATGTAAAGCGCTTTGAGTGCCTAGAAAAGTTAAATGTAATGAGTTATTATTATTATTATTATTATTATTATTATATGATGATGTGTTCTTAACTGTCCTTGACTTATTCACAGGGTCTAATGAATTGAGGAAATGGACATGAATGGACATGCATTTTTTTGTTTATAAAATATATGCTGTCCTCATCAGCTAAACTGCACCTTGTCATAACAAATAGTCAGATAAATAGTCACACGATCCTTCAGAAATCATTCGAATATGCTGTTTTGGTGCTCAAGAAACATTTCTTATTATTAACAATTTGAAATCTGATACGCTACCACTCAAATGTTTGGTTTACGTAATATTAAAACAATAATAATAAAAGACTTACATTTTAATAAATTGATCGAAAGTGACAGTAAAGACATTTATAATATTACAAAATACTTTTATTTCAAATAAACGCTGTAATTTTTAACTTTATCAAAGAATCCTTAAAAAAATGTATTACAGTTTCCGTAAAAAAAGTCAGCAGCAAATACCACAAGATGTTTTTGACATTGATAATAATAACAAGATGGGGCTTTGTTGAAAACGACGTGTTTGAGAGAGGCGGGGCATAGAGGATCTACAATAATGTACAGTATTTGAAAAATAATGTGTTTTTTGAACATTAAAGCATGTCAACATATTCTGTTACACCAAATAATGATCTTTAAAATAGCATCATATGACCCCTTTAATATTCGATAATAAATCGATAATAACTAAGCATCAAATCAGCATATTAGAATGATTTCTGAAGGATCATTTGACACTGAAGACTGGTGTAATGATGCTGAAAATACAGCTTTACATTACAGGAATAAATTACTTTTTCAAATATATTACAATAGAAAACAGTTATTTTAAATTGTGATAATATTTCACAATATTACTGTTTTTACTGTGTTTTTTATCAAATAAATGTAGCCTTTGTAAAGACCTTTTTCAAAAATATATAAAAAAATAATTATTCTAAACTTTTGACTGGTAGTATCCTTTTGACACACACACACCTAGGTATAACATATGTATGTATGAACTTTTCCAATGCAAAATTAGATTTCTCATATATTTCTTACATTTCTTACAATCAGGGTGTTGAGGGTCCGAGGGGGCCTCCAGGAGGAAGAGGACCACCGGGAGAGGGTTTCCCTGGTTCCAAGGTTGGTAGTAAAGATTATAATTAATGGCAAGCTGTAAAAAGAAATTTGTCCTTGGCTCAATTTTTGACTATTTTTCTAGGGAGAACAAGGTTTACCAGGAGAGATGGGCACCCCGGGAGAGAGAGGGCAGGGCGAACCTGGACCAAAGGTATGTGTTCTTAAATCTGGGGTGGTGTAGGCTCACAAAATGTATGGGCCATTTAGGATAGAAGCTAGTTTTAGACCATAATGAAGACTTTAGAAGTACTGATATGATTTCTTCAGGGTGAACCTGGTGCATATGGACTGGCTGGTGTACCTGGACTTCCTGGGGAGGACGGAGCTCCAGGACAAAAGGTAACTCTGACTGAATGTTCTGCTGATTAGATAGGTCTCTAAGCAAATAAGCAAGTTTCCCGGGTATTAAATGCATTGTGTTTCTCTTCATCAGGGTGAGCATGGGGCAACAGGTTTGAGGGGAACTGAGGGGGCTCCAGGAATTGGCACTCAAGGAGAGAAGGTACAATACTTTCCTCATTAAACATTTTAATATTCAATATGTTCAGATTTTGGGTGTCTTGTGATTGTCATCTAGTGGATGTCAAAAAATGCTTTAGTATCATTATCTTCAGTATATGTTGACTGAGATTCTGTGTTCTAATCTTAATAGGGAGATCAAGGCCAAAGTGGCATTCGAGGGTTGTCAGGTCCTCCTGGAATAAGTGGCCCTTCGGGACCAAAGGTGAGAATATCTAAAGAAATAGAGCGCAACCTTGGTTCTGGAAGTATTTTAACTTTTTCTCCAAAAAGTATTAAATAACGAGTTAAAAAACTAAGCCGTGAACTAAAGCAACCAAGTCAGAGAACTGCAGCATTATGAACTTCGATTGAAAGTATTTGAAAATCAGAAAAAATACGAGAGTGAATGTGTATTCATCAAAAGTGACAGTAAAGAATGTATAATATTCTTCTTATAAAAATAATAAGATTTTAAATAAAAGCTGTTCTTTTGAACTTCAAAGACTTCATCATGATTCATCAAAGAATCCTTTAGAAAAAGTATCACCGTTTCCACAAAATAGTTATTTTAAATTGTACTAGTACTTTACAATATTACTGTTTTAACTGTAATTTTGATCATATCTGATCATTTTACAAAAATCTTACCGACTGTTACGTATCCGGTCCATGAACTTCCGTCTGCTGGCCATCAGAGGTCACCCTTTCCATTTTCATTGACTCTCGCACTACACCCAGTTGCATATCACCCCGGACTACATATCTTATCAGTCATTGCACTGATTGCACACAGCACTGATTGCACACAGCTGTTTCATATCACTCACTCCCTATTTAACACTCACTCTTATCCCTTCCCTCTGCCGAGTACTGTTTAGCATTTATCGCTCACCTAGGGATAGCTACATTATGGCACCTGCTCTATCTTTTCCCAGTATTTCTTAGTCTTGCCTGTTTTTCCTGTGTTTTGATTCTCGCCTGTGTATTTCGGATTACCCCCATTCGTATTGCCGTTTGGACTCTGTTTGCCCCTGACTGGATTATTGCTGTGTACCGGGATTATCTCTCTTTGCCTTGCCCTGTTGGATATTGTTCACCGTCGATCGACCCACGCCCGTTTACTGGACTGCTCTTACGTTTTGCCCATACTATATCGGTTCGCTGGTGTTTCGTCCCTGCCTGTGTTTGTTACCACGTCTTTTAAATAAAAGCTTGCACATGGATCCGCATGTCTCACGTCTTGTCAGCCCCGTAACACCGACACTTTTGAACGGCAGTGTATGTTTACAGCAAAATATTAAAATGTTTGCAAATACAAAAGAGTGTAGGGAGAAAAGGAATGAGGTTTCTATTTCCAGAACCTTACTGTTGTGCTCTATAGGGAAGCATGGAAACAATAAAGAATAAATATAAATATAATAATATTTAAATTAAAACAAAAGATGAAATGTAAAAAAACGCCTGATTTTTTTGTTTTTTGACTCCAAGCTTACAAAACCGCTCATTGTTTGAAGTAACAGTGCAATAAATGTCTGTGGTTTCTCACATAGTTTTAGAAGTAATGCAGTTACATCATTGGAACATTACACTGTTGTTTTTTAGGGAGAGCCAGGTACGCCAGGAAGGCTGGGCATGCCAGGATTACCTGGACGAGCTCTTGCAGGATCAAAGGTAACAAAAGCCAAGCTACTTTAACTGTGCCACTCCTACAGGCTGGCAGGCCGTCGTTGTGTTAATGGCCCACTGCCAACACTATGAATCAGAACATTTCTATTTCAAGATTCATCATAGCCAACTAAGCAATAAAACAGAGAAGTAATGGTATGACATTATCTCCTCGTGCCTTCAGGGTGAGGTGGGTCCCGCTGGTCCTCCCGGACCAATTGGAGAGACTGGTTACGGTCTGCCTGGTCCAAAGGTGGGTGGAACTTTTAACCTGAAGAACAATTTAGAAAATTAGTAAAAGGAATAAGATAATTTGATTGAGCATATATATATATATATATATATATATATCCAATCAAAAGTATAGGATAATTCAGATTTTTAAATATGTAGCTTTTTTAATGTTTTGTAATGATTGTGAATTTTTTTTTTTGAAATAACGAGATTTTGACTATGCTAATCATAAAACAGCTCTATATGGCTTTTTTTTTTTACTGGTCAAAAGTGTGGAAAAATTTAGAGTTTTTTTTATATGTTTTTGAAAGAAATGCATTTATAATGAAAGATTTTGATTATGCCAATCATAAAATAGCAAACTTTTTTATACAGACAATTGTCATATTTTTTGTTTTTGAAACAAGTCTCTTATACTCACCAAGGCTACATTTATTTGATCAAAAAATTAAAAATAAATAAATAAATAATATGAAATATTATTACAATTTAAATAACTGATTTCTATTTGAATATATTCTAAAATGTAATTTAGTCCTGTGATGCAAAGCTGAATTTTCAGCATCATTACTCCAGTCTTCAGTGTCACATGATCCTTCAGAAATCATTCTAATATGCTGAGCTGGTGCTTTAAAATGTAAAAATATTTCACAATATGACTGTTTTTACTGTACTTTTTATTTAAAAAAATGCAGCTTTGGTGAGCAAAGATTTCTTTCAAAAACATTTTTAAAAATCTTAATTATTCCAAACATCTGACCGGTGTATATGAAGTGGCATTCCTTCCTTATCACATTTAGGGTGATCGAGGTAACCCGGGACCGCCCGGACCATTTGGGCCTAAAGGTGAAGGATTCCCTGGTCCAATGGTAAGCAACTTTTACATCCCTATTTCCATATAACATCACTGCATGCCCATCGCTTAAAATTTTAAGTCATTTTATATTTCCCATAATCAGGTTTGTTGCTGGGTATTTGAGCATGTGTGTTTATTTCACACAGGGTCTGCCTGGTTTACCAGGACCATCGGGTGAGCCCGGCCCTGAAGGCATTGGTGTTCCTGGACCAAAGGTGAAGTTAACACTTCATGTATTCCTGATGATGTATGAGGATCAATTGTGGCTTTCAGAAATGTGTTCAGACACTTCAACTTTATTAAATATGACTTGATTATTTACACAATAACAAGAAAATGAACAGAATGGAAATAAATTGCCTAAGTTAGTCGTTGCTTTGAGAAGGACTGAAGTTAATTTATTAATATTTTAACCATCCTTTGAAATGCAGATTTTTTTCAAACTGATTTCTGTAAATGTATCACTCATGATGGATTGTTTCACAGTTTACAAACTATTAGTAAAGTATTAAAATTCACTCATAAGTGTGTTATTGTGATACAACAAAGCAGACTAATGACTGAGTGGCAATTATTTCAGAAATACTCAATATAGTCAAGTTAAATATGTGACCCTGGATCACAAAACCAGTCATAAGGGTAAATTTTTCGAAATTGAGGTTTATACATCATCTGAAAGCTGAATAAATAAGCTTTCCATTGATGTATGGTTTGTTAGGATAGGACAATATTTGGCCGAGATCTGTAATATTATATCTGTAATACATAGTGAAAATCTGGAATCTGAGGTTGCAAAAAAATCTAAATATTGAGAAAATCACCTTTAAAGTTGTTCAAATTAAGTTCTTAGCGATGCATATTACTAATCAAAAATTACGTTTTAATATAAATTTACAAAATATCTTCATGGAACATGATCTTTACTTAATGTCCTAATGATTTTTGGCATAAAAGAAAAATCTATAATTTTGACCCATACAATGTATTTTTGGCTATTGCTACAAATATACCCCAGCGACTTAAGACTGCTTTTGTGCTCCAGGGTCACATATATTAAGTCATATATATGACGAGAACATCAAAATGTCCTGCATAGTAGGATTAATTTTAAATGGTGCTTTTGGTAAAACTTCAATTTCATTTCAGGGAGACATTGGATTCAGGGGTTTGCCTGGTTTGCCAGGACCACCTGGTGAAGGACTGCAGGGACCACCGGTAAGATATTTATATTCATGTCATCTGACATAAACTCTCCCATGAATCTCCCTGACTACAGTAATGAAACTGATACTGAATGCCCCACATGTCCAGAACAAGAGCTCTGAACAGCATGCATAGGGAGTCTGTCTGTGTTGCTGTGGGGATTGAGGAAGACAAGCTGTCTGTTCCTCCCATATTAATTCTGCTGTCTTGCTGTTTCAGGGCAACATGGGAAGATCAGGTCCTCCAGGACCACAAGGACCCCCAGGGGAAGGTATTCAGGGACCCAAAGTAGGTTAACCATCTACTACCTGCTTTATAGGGCTGGGCGATATAGCTAAACTTATATATTTTTCACCAGTTTGGTGATATTCAGTCTGGATATTTCATATATATATATATATATATATATATAAGTCAGGTTTGGAATGACAGTAGAGTGAATAAATAACGACTGAATATATATTAATTCTGCTGTCTTGCTGTTTCAGGGCAACATGGGAAGATCAGGTCCTCCAGGACCACAAGGACCCCCAGGGGAAGGTATTCAGGGACCCAAAGTAGGTTAACCATCTACTACCTGCTTTATAGGGCTGGGCGATATAGCTAAACTTATATATTTTTCACCAGTTTGGTGATATTCAGTCTGGATATTTCATATATATAGACTGGGTGGTGGTGGACTAACAAAAGAAAAGAAAAATGTGATATTGACAAAGAAAATATGAAAAAAGACACAAAATATGACAATGACAAATATGTCATTTTATATTAGCAGTATAATCATTAATATTCAAAATATTGCCCAGCTCTAGACATAATAGCATTGTGTCCAAGTCATGATGACCTGGTCAGAAAATAAACTTGTTTGTTAAATCCATCAGGGTGATCAGGGGGCTCCTGGAGTGACAGGGCCGAGGGGCCCATCGGGAGAGGGACTTCCAGGCTCCAAGGTGAGACTTTGGTTTAGATCATACTAACTAAAGAGGATGGGATAGTTATAAATGGGTAAATATGGGTCAGAAAACATCATTACAAAATGAATCATGACTATTTTCGATGAAAAATAATCTCTTATGCATGTACTTCAGAAATAAAAATGAAATTATCAGTTCAAATGTATGATATGAGCCTTTTGATTCATCTGTCCTGTAGGGTGATCGTGGTTTGCAGGGCGAGAGGGGCTTTAAAGGAATGAAAGGTGACATGGGTGACCCAGGGAATCCAGGACTAGCTGTAAATTAATTTACTCACTATAAACCTCTTCTGTGTCAGAGCAGACAGAGTTGAAATGTGAATACTAAATCACATTGTAAATCAGCTTGTTTAATGCTTATATAGGAATGCCGCGATAGGTGTCGTATTCCTATAGGTAGATGTGATCAGCTGAGAATCAGCTGATGCAAGCTTGACTCACGTGACCTGCCAGAACTAACGCAAAACGCTTAATTTATCTGCTATATAATATTTTTATACAAACTTAAAACATAAATATTGATGATTATTGAATTTTACCAATAGGCTGGAAAATATAATAAAATTATATTAAATATAATGTTTTTATAACAGCCATTGTCTCCAATTATTATGAAAATGTTTAATGCAAGAATTAAAATACAGCAAAGGTTATTTAAAATAATCAACACATGTTTTTTGTATTTATATATTTAACTATGTTTATGTGCATAGTGCATCCAATATAACAATACATAGTAATATATACATACATATAAATAAATTTAATAAATGAAAAATGCCACCCAGAGATATGGTTATGTTGGGGTTGCTCTGAATCAGTTCATTGAAACAGACCATTTGAACAGATTCCCTAAAGTTAATACATTTTAGCAATTTTAACTGTATTTTTCCGAATGAACTTAAATCAGAGATGCTATTTAAACATCTATAAATTAGTCTTAATCTAATGATGTGCTCCTTTGCCAAATTTTTAAATGAAAATATTTAATATTTTAACTGCAATATTCTCAATGTTGCTTCATTTTGTATCACCAGCAAAATCATAATGAATAATCCTAACTGCAAACTAATTGCATCTTGCTCTGTGTTTGGTCTCCTTCTGCAGCTCTGGAGTCTAAACTGGTTAGCCAGTTCTGTGAGGATGAGAACGGGGCCCTTTTCTTCAACCGGATTACCAATGGCTTGAACGGAAACAACGGATACGGCTACAGCAACGGCCAAGAGGATGTTTCCTCATACAGGAATAATGTTTATGGGAACCGATTTCAGGAGATTTCACAGGACAGATCGCAGAGTCACATGAGAGGCAGAGAACACGGCATACCTCTTCCCATCAACCCTGGCCCTCTCAAAGCACAGGTCAACTACCACAACTAACTAACTGTCCGTTTCTTTTGCATGCTAGACTAATGCAGACTGATCTGAACCAGGCCACTGTCTGATTCTGTGCTGTTGCTGTTGTGCAGGTGGAGAATGACTATGAAGGTGAGGATCTAGACATAAAGACACAACCTCAAGGTGGCAGCACTGTTGCTGTTGTCAATAAGACTGTCCAAGCTGTACAGCCAGGAACCTCTTCATCATCATCATCCTCTTCACCATCAGTATCATTATCTTCATCAGTGTCAACACATTCTACTTCAGTGAATGTGAATGCAAAGCCTCGTCCTGTAGTGATAAAAGGTATTCTTTTCATACAACTGTTTGTTATACAATATAAATATTGACCATATTGAATATTGTCAATAGGCTGAAAATATCATATATTACAAATGATTAAATATGACAAATTAATGTTCTATAGTATAAAATAGAGAATACACAGCTGGACTCAAATGAAGGTGTAGAACCATCTCAAGGATGATCAGAAGAAATGGACAGCACCTGAGTTAAATATATGAGTGTCACAGCAAAGGGTCTGAATACTGTGATATTTCAGTTTTTCTTTTTTAATAAATCTGCAAAAATGTCAACAATTCTGTGTTTTTCTGTCAATATGGGGTGCTGTGTGTACATTAATGAGGGAAAAAATGAACTTAAATGATTTTAGCAAATGGCTGCAAAATAACAAAGAGTGAAAAATTTAAGAGGGTCTGAATACTTTCCGTACCCACTGTATATGTGATAAAACAAATATTTGTATAATATAAAATAATAAATAATAAAATAGTTTTTTTATATATATAATTGTATACAATCATAAAACATTAATGCTGACAATACAAAATATTATCAAATATCAATTATATAAAATATAATAAAAATTATAATTTATTATGTAAAATGATAATAAATATAATATGTTTTAGAACAGACATTGTCACCAAGTATTTTGAAAATGTTTAATGCAAGAATTAAAATACAGCAAAGGTTAGTTTAAAAATGTAACTAGTTAATATAAAATAATATAATAATATAACATAACATTGAATACTGGCAATAAGCTGAAAAGGCATTAAAATAGTATTTTTGCAATATAAAATAATAATAAATAAGTTTTATAATAAAATATATTCTATAAAAATTATATAATTAATATACTATACATATATATAATGTGTTATAAAACTAATTTTGACAATATTAAAAAATATAACAAATTATATTTTTAATATATAAAGTAATGAATTATAAAATACCATTTTTATATAAAAGCTGTTATAAAACATAAACATAAATATTGACAATAAAAACAATGGGCTATATATATATATAATTTAAAATAATAAGTAATACAATTGTTTGTATAATATATTATTTTTATACAAATTTACTAAAACATACTGACACTATTGAAAAATATTACAAATTATATTTTTATAATCTAAATATATTTATGCAGAAGTGGTTTTTATGTTCTGAAAGTGTTTAGTGATATTACTTTCTCTTCTTCTGTGGTGCGTCAGAATCGGCTCCACTGGATCCTCGATGTTTGCTCGGTCTGAGTCAGGGCTCCTGTAGAGACTATGTCATTCGCTGGTACTACGACAAACAGGCAAACTCGTGTGCTCAGTTCTGGTACGGAGGCTGTCAGGGCAACGACAACCGCTTCCAGACGGAAGAAGGATGCAAGAAAACGTGTGTCCTCACCACCAGCACAGGTATTATTCACTCCTACAGACATGAAGGAAGAGTTCATACAAGATAAGCTCTGTCAACAGCAGTGTTATTATTTATTACATTTATTACAGTTATTTGTGTTACGTTTAGCAAAAACAAGCTGTAAAAAATGTATCTGGCTACTGCTAACTATAACTAAAACTAAAACGAATAAAATCAATTTTGGTCATTTGGTCATTTAAAATAAAGCTAAAATAATATATAAATATTAGATGAAAACAAATTAAAATATAATACAAATAAAAAATATACATACTGTATATATAAAAATAATATACTGTATAGACAAAATGTATCATTTTTATTTTATATATATAAATATGTAAATATATATATCAAAATTAAAATGAATAAATAAAAGCTGAACTACTTATCTATACATTCTTGAGAACATTATATAACACATAGTGAACTTTCCTTTCAAATGTTACTGGCTTTGCATCTTTTACTGACTTTTTCTGCCTTTGTTTTCATAGCAGGCTAAACGGGATGAAGATCTACACTGAATAGTGATAATGAACTTTATGCTGGTGATGGTGTGCACATGCCACAGTGGTCACTTCTTTCTATAATATCATAAAACTGTTCCCTAACATTATGCTCAGGATCTGGAGAAAATCTTTATGCAGAGCCCCAAATAAATCAGAAGATTTTTTTTACAAGCAAGTACCTGAAACACGTGTTATTATGAAGCTTCAAACACACATTTCTTATATTTCTCAGTATCCTCTGAGAATCTGTGCACTGCTCTGCATGTGACGGTTGTGACGTGCAGAAATATTACTAACAACCTTCACTGGGAATTGATTGTATATATGTTTTGTTTTATTTAACATTTATATACAATTTATGACTTGAGCAAAGCCACAGACATATTTAGTAGGTTGTAGAAATGCCATAAATGATGTTTTAGGGATTTTATGGGGATATTATCATTTTGTAGGGAATAAAGCAAATAAACAAACAGTAGTTAAGTCACTAAGTCATAATAATGTAAATTCAATTATGATTTTCAAAAAGGAAAACATTTTGTATATATTCTTTTTCATGTGTCTTTATAATGTTATTCTGATAAAATAGTTTTTGTACTGAAAACAGTTTTTGTACTTTAGTTTTTTTCAGAATTTTGTACTGAAAACAAGGTTTGCAATTTTTTATGAACCAGCCCTGTCCTAACATTAGTCTGAAATAAGTCGTTTTTGAAATGTAGACATTCATTAAAATAATTTTTATAAAAAAATTTATTTTAAAATGTAAAAAAATGATATTTGTTTTATACAAATGATATTTTTGAATGTGTTCTTTTGTGGATTTTATTTGAATAAAATGTTTGGTTCATGATTTTCACTAAATTTGTGCTTGTTATTGAATGAGAAAACAAATATAATTTATACCCTTTTCTACATCTAAATACGTATTTCTTATATATATATATATATAGAGAGAGAGAGAGAGAGAGAGAGAGAGAGAGAGAGATAATATAGATCTTATAATAATCTTATATAGATCCCACATTGTCTTTAAACACATATTACTCCTCCTGACAGCTATTATTATATATAGCCATATACAAATATATAATAAGTAATAAAGCAAGCGGCATAAATATGCTTTCAGATATTCGCAGTTTGTCCCTTCCTTCCCGCCGTACTAAAAACATATTTACTTTGGTTTAAAATATTAAAAGCTGAAACATATAACTATTAGGCTAGATGAACAAGCAAAAACTACAACACAAATTTAATTTTGTTGGGGGGGATGCTTTATATAAATATCCGCTTCTCAGTGATTAGTTTACTTCACAAAATCATGGTAACGATTTACATTTTGAAGAAAGATAATATATAGTTACCTTTTTATGTGTGCCTGTTTTTTTTTAATGAACCATTTAGTGTTTTATTCTCCTCTTAGACTGAAGCAACTGATTTTATGTTTCATTTAAGGCAGATGAAAGCCAGACCAGGTGAAGCGCTCATCGACTGCCTGGATTCAATCGAGGACACGAAGGGAAATAATGGTGATAGAGGTGATTAAATGAATTATGTCCGCCTTGTTACCTGTGGTTACCTTTATGTATATTAAGTTGTCATAATTGTGACATCTTTTTTGTCTTTATATAGGAATATTTCCTATTTGAGGATAATCTGGCATTCATTGGCACTGCCAAGAGTCAACTTGTGTGAGTATTTGAGAAATATTCAATAATAATCTCAAAAATGTAATGTAATTAACTTTATGCTGGTGTCTACTACAGTGGAAAGATCTAAATGCCATCTTATACTGTACTGGACAGATGTAGCTCTTTCATAAAACATCATTTTGATTCTTTTCTTGTTTTTAAGTAAAAAAGGAAATATTTTTAATTTGTGATGTAATCATTCATGCATCAGAGGGCTGTTTAAAGGGTTAGTTCACCCAAAAATGAAAATTACCCCATGATTTACTCACCCTCAAGCCATCTTAGGTGTATATGACTTTCTTCTTTCAGACGAATCCAATCGCCGTTATATTAAAGAATGTCCTGGCTCTTCCAAGCTTTATAATGGCAGTGAATGGGTGTTATTTTTCAATAGTCCAAAAGAAGTCCAATAAAGTGCATCCATCCATCATAAAAAAAAGTGTCCCACACGGCTCCGGGGGGTTAATAAAGGCCTTGTGAAGCGAATCGGTGCGTTTTTGTAATAAAAATATCCATATTTAAAACTTAAAAACATATAATAAACAGTCATCTGTAGCTTCCGCGTAGTGCAAGCTTTAACATAAGTTGATAGTCACTAGGCGCGTTTCCATTACAGATTTGCGCAAAATTTTGGCGATATTTAATATTAATATTTCTGCGTGAGCATTTGGGCGGCATTATGCAAATCTTTCCACATCGTGACGTTGATTTTATGTTTCATTTAAGGCAGATGAAAGCCAGACCAGGTGAAGCGCTCATCGACTGCCTGGATTCAATCGAGGACACGAAGGGAAATAATGGTGATAGAGGTGATTAAATGAATTATGTCCGCCTTGTTACCTGTGGTTACCTTTATGTATATTAAGTTGTCATAATTGTGACATCTTTTTTGTCTTTATATAGGAATATTTCCTATTTGAGGATAATCTGGCATTCATTGGCACTGCCAAGAGTCAACTTGTGTGAGTATTTGAGAAATATTCAATAATAATCTCAAAAATGTAATGTAATTAACTTTATGCTGGTGTCTACTACAGTGGAAAGATCTAAATGCCATCTTATACTGTACTGGACAGATGTAGCTCTTTCATAAAACATCATTTTGATTCTTTTCTTGTTTTTAAGTAAAAAAGGAAATATTTTTAATTTGTGATGTAATCATTCATGCATCAGAGGGCTGTTTAAAGGGTTAGTTCACCCAAAAATGAAAATTACCCCATGATTTACTCACCCTCAAGCCATCTTAGGTGTATATGACTTTCTTCTTTCAGACGAATCCAATCGGCGTTATATTAAAGAATGTCCTGGCTCTTCCAAGCTTTATAATGGCAGTGAATGGGTGTTATTTTTCAATAGTCCAAAAGAAGTCCAATAAAGTGCATCCATCCATCATAAAAAAAAGTGTCCCACACGGCTCCGGGGGGTTAATAAAGGCCTTGTGAAGCGAATCGGTGCGTTTTTGTAATAAAAATATCCATATTTAAAACTTAAAAACATATAATAAACAGTCATCTGTAGCTTCCGCGTAGTGCAAGCTTTAACATAAGTTGATAGTCACTAGGCGCGTTTCCATTACAAATTTTGGCGATATTTAATATTAATATTTCTGCGTGAGCATTTGGGCGGCATTATGCAAATCTTTCCACATCGTGATGTAGACATGTGGGGGCATGTTAGAACGAGCCGTTTTAGGTAGGTGTGGTTGACTCTTAACTTTTATAAAGAATATCTCTTTGGATTTGAGACTTTAGTCTTTGCAACTTTACAGACCTTCTTTATGCACCAAGAGCTTGTAACACTCCAAAGAGAAAGGATCAATTGAAATCGCATCATATGACCCCTTTAATGGTAGGGAAAGCCCCTTATACTGGAGAGTGGCCATGTATGAAGTGTTACTTGGAGGTTATAGTACATTGAAGAATGGTCATATGACGTTTTACCTACGCCATGTGACCTGTAAATGCGAAAAGTTTTGCGAATTATTCCTTTTTCGCATTGCCTGAAAAACCACCTCATGCGAGCGTAATGACTTTTTTGCGATATATTGGCGTTTTTGCGAAATTGACGCGCCTACTGATGAATCATTATCTGACATCTTGTCTTTTATTTACCTTTTTATTTCATTTTTATTTATTAACAGCTGTGGGATACAACTGCATTATTAATATCACCACAAGGACAGCAAATTCAGTGAGTCATCTTGCTTCATGTTTTCATCAAATCCTTTTTAATAGCTCATGTAGATGATGTCAAATTCCCTCTTTCTTTTTTTCCCAGAAACTGAGAGGTCAGACTGAAGCACTTTACATATTAACCAAATCTAATAACACTAGATTTGAGTTCATATTCACCAATGTGGTCCCAGGAAGTCCAAGACTGTTTACATCTGTCATTGCCGTTCACAGGTACTTATGCTTTACATAATGACACGATTAGACCACTTTATTGATAGTTCAAGCAATTTTTGTTTCTCAAAATCTGAGTTGGCATTTTGATTAAATCAACAAACTAATATTTAAGGGTGCTTTCACACTTGGTTTGCTTGCCTGGTCCGAACCCGAGTTCAATTGCTCCCTCCTCACCCTGCCCCCGCTGGACTGCATTCATATTATTTTATTTCGGTCCGAACCGCGGTTCGTTTGCGGCATCAAGCCAGCAGCTTTTTACCCCGTTGCTTAGTAACGACAGCGCAGGAGAAGGTGGCAAATGCATAACATTGCTCTCTACGCTTTTATATATTTAAGTTTTTGAACCGTTCATATTGTTTACAAAGCTTTGGTACATAACGGCACTTACGTCTGCCTTACGAATGTACTGCAAATGCTCTAAAGAACCCTGAAGGTGAACAGAAATGAGATATACAGCTCTCTGTTTGCAGCGCGACAGTCACGTTTGTAAGGAAAATGAGTGAAACACACATACAAACACATTTTTATCAAATAATACGTCATTAATAGCAGTTCACTTCCGCGATTTGGTACGATTGCGTTCACATCAGCAACGAACCGTACTGGAGTTCACATGAACCGTACCCCAGACCACCCTTTTTAAGCGGACTCGGGTACGGTTCGTGGGTGCGCACCCGAGTTCGGAAGTCAGCGTTCACATCATCCAAACGAACCGAACTCAGTCGAACCCGGGTGCGCACCAAAAGTGCTAGTGTGAAAGCACCCTCAATCTACATTATTTAGATCTGTAGTTCAATACATACAATATTCTGTGAAATATATTTTGTGAATTGCAGAATAATAAATTCCACACATTTTTTATTGTTTATACAGTTCAAAGTATTTTAACAGCACTTTGAACACATGTTTTAATACTTAAAAAAATGCAATTATTAAATTTAAAGAGGGACATAAAGAAATACCACATAATCTGACAAAACAGAAAGCCTCTGAGTTAAATGATTGATTGAATTATGTACTTTTTTAGGGATGGTAACATACAAAATGAATAATAAAAGTTCCTGAAAAGAAATGGTAAGCTTTTAATGAAATAAATTACTCAGAGGAAATATTATTATAGGAAAGCTTATAAAAAATGTTGCATAAGATAAAGTAAAAAACAAATAGAACAAAACAGTATGCTGAAATTATTGGAATGTCAATAAAATATATTGATTTAATTGTATTCATTAAGCTGACACAAACAATAAGAAACATTAAGGCATGTAAAATATTAGATACAATAGGGTATATATTCTTGTGATTGAGAGCTCTCAACAGGTAAGTTTGGACCATCAAGATCATCAGAAAAACATATGTGTTGTATTATGTGACCTAACATCTCATTAAAAACGTAAATTTTTCTTAACATTATTATCATTGTGACGAGTGGTGATTGCGACGCCCCACTCGTCACAATCATTTTTTGATGTGATAAAGAATAAAAGGATAGAAATGTGTACATTATGAATCAATTTTTAAAAAAATAAATTATTTACATTATATTGACCAAAAGTGACCGTAAGGACATTTATAATGTTACAAAAGATTTACATTTTTAAATAAATGCTGTTCTTGTTAACTTTTTATGCATTAAAGAATCCTTATAAAAATGTATCACGCTTTCCACAAAAATATTAAGCAGTAAAAACTGTTTTCAATATTAATAATAATAATAATAAATGTTTTTTGATCAGCAAATCAGCATATTAGAATGATTTCTGAAGGATCATGTGAAAATTGAAAATTCAACTTTGCATCACAGGAATAAATTACAACTCAAAATATATTCAAATAGGAAACAGTTATTTTAAATTGTATTAACATTTCACAATATTGCTTTTTTACTTCTTTCAAAAACATTACAAGATCTTACTGACCCCAAACCTTTGAACGGTTGTCTGTGTGGCAGTAAATTCCCTGGAGTGAATGTAGCAACATTTTGTGCTGTTTCCTCTCTCCTAGACAGGAGGTTATGTGCTGGGATTCAAGATCGATCCGATGGACAAGTTACAAGATGCAGTGAAGGAAATCAACTCCTTACACAAAGTGTACTCCGCAAACCCCATTTTTGGTGTGGAATATGAGATGGAAGAAAAGGTAGTAACGAAGATTTTTGATGTATAGTCAAAAGTGCAATAAATTTGAAAACCGCACATCTGTATTAAACATGGCTAGAATGCCTCCACTTTTCTGTAGATTAAAAGCACAAATCTGGTAAATAACATAAATATGCTTTCTGTCTCAGCCTCAGCCTCTGGAGGAGCTGACCGTAGAACAGCCGCCTGATGACGTGGAGATTGAGCCAGATGAGCACACAGATGCCTTTACCGAGAGTTTTATCTCATATGCTACTCTCAGAGATAATGACACTCTGCTTTCACCACGTAGTGCTCTGTGTTTGTGTGTGTGTGTGCGTCTCACACGCTGAAAATAGCTGATCGCTTAAGCCTCAACTCACAATGCCCCATCAACACAGACTTTTGTTGCCTGGTGTCAAAAATGTTTACACAGAGCTCTGATGATTCTGACATCAGGAATGCTCTCTTATTTAAGACTGACAGGAGATGTACAATCACTGATGTGCAATTTCTTCTCTTTTTCACCTCGAGGCTTATTTTGCAGATGGAAATAAGGTAAATTCTATCTATCTATCTATCTATCTATCTATCTATCTATCTATCTATCTATCTATCTATCTATCTATCTATCTATCTATCTATCTATCTATCTATCTATCTATCGTCTGTCTATAATTTGCTCTAGCTATCTAGCTATCATCTATCTATCTATCTATCTATCTATCTATCTATCTATCTATCTATCTATCTATCTATCTATCTATCTATCGTCTGTCTATAACTTGCAGTGTGTATCTAGCTATCATCTAGCTATCTATCTGTCTATATGTCTGGACAAAATTTCCATTTAAATTACATATTTTTTTCTCTCCTTAAGCAACATGATCGTGAGCCGGTGTTCTCTGAAGAGCTGGGTCTGGCTATGGAGAAATTAAAAGATGGATTCACACTACAGGGACTCTGGGAAGTCATGGGTTAAAACGCTCAAACGCTCTGTACCATTATATGTATTTCGGCATTGCGTTGCTACATTATTTACATCCAATTTGAAAACATTTTTCATTTGCTAAATGTGAAAATGTTATTTATTTTTAGAATATTTATTTGATATTTGATAATGGCATGTTTACAAATCATATGCAAACCAAGTGTAAGTTAGGGAAAAAAGCTGGGGAAAAAATTAAAAGGTACTTTTGTATAATATGAATGTATACACAGAAATAGAAACATTTATATATGTATCAAATATAAAATAATATTTGTATATTAGAAACTGTAAGCTTGTTTATGTAGACAACTTCACATGCTAATTCTGCTGTTGTGTTGTTTTTTGTGTTTAATCAGTTTTTCAATACCTGTTTAAGTGGTTTTGATAGTAATGGTTTGTTCAAACCATCATATGCGGTTCGTAGGCTCAGGTTTGACAAGTCTGTTTAAAAATGTGTCAGAGGAGCTCAACTACTTCACAAATGACCAGAAGAGCAGATTAATTGCTCTCTGCTGTCCTTTTAGGCAACAGAAGGTTATAAAGTAAAAAGAGCATTTAAAGGAATACTTCACAAAAATAATTATTTACTCACCCTCAAGTTGTTCCAAACTTGTGAGCTGTTATGTTTTCTGTGGAACAAAAATGTAAAATGTAAGTTTAGAAAAATGTACAAACTATTTACAATGACCTTTTATAGTCTTCCAAGCTACAAAAAGAGCAAAAAAAAAACATACATTTTATAACTAGCTCATGAAAGTGCATAAATAATGACACCATTTTCATTTCTGGCTGAACTTTTCCTTTAAATAGAAACCACCCATGAAGAGTACAAGATGAATGAGTCACAGACCTATCAACTTACAAATCGTACAAATGACACCATGTGCAAAACGGAGGTAATTACACACACCTTTACAATTATTTAAAACTCTGTTGAATTCATACTGATGTGTCACTCCTTCCATCCTTTAGTTACATAGCACCAAACACACATTCAATTACAAAACACCCTTGACCTCTCAGTGTGTCCAAGGTTCACAGTTGTCTTTTTCAGTCTTTGACAGCTGCTCCCGTTTGGTCAGCCTGAATTCTTTCTGACTGTATGACGGGTCTATATTTAGAGGGGCAGATTTAAATTTCAGTGTTGCGTTGGAGCTCGGTGTTATTTCAGCTTCTTATAACTGAAACAGCAAGACAAGAGGAAGTATAGCATCCTCTTCGAGTCCTGCAAAATTTGAGATGGAACCCATGAGTATCAAGGAGGACCTGAGGCTCTTTCAGAGCACCCTGCTCCAGGACGGTTTGAAGGAACTTCTGAAGGAGAACAAGTTTGTGGATTGTATTCTGAAGGTTGGAGATCGGAGTCTTCCCTGCCACAGACTCATCTTGGCTGCGTGTAGCCCGTATTTCCGAGAGCTGTACTTTACTGAAGACGGTGTTGAGAAGAAAGACTCCAGCAAGGAAGTAGTGCTGGAGGACGTGGATCCCACCATTATGGACATGATTGTGAACTATCTCTACTCTGCAGACATCGAAATCACAGATGAGAATGTGCAAGACGTCTTCGCAGTCGCCAACAGGTTCCAGATCCCATCCGTGTTCACCGTTTGCGTCAGCTATCTACAAAACAAGCTTTCGTTCGGTAACTGCTTGGCTATCTTCAGAATGGGACTGGTTTTGAACTGCCCGAGACTCGCTATGGCTGCTAGGGACTTCATAGCGGATCGTTTTGAGACTTTATCCAAGGATGAGGACTTTCTTGAGTTCAATGCTCCCGAGTTGTTCGCTGTCATCGGGTGTGATGCCCTGAACGTGGAAAAAGAAGAGGTTGTGTTTGAGCTCTTGATGAAATGGGTCGGGAAGAATAAGGAAAACCGGGCGAAAGCTTTGGGAGATGCTTTCGAACACATCCGCTTCCAACTTCTACCTGAGAAATACTTCAAGGAGAAAGTGGAAAAGGATGACATCATCAAGGCCGACCCCGAGCTCGCCAAGAAGCTAAAGGTCATCAAGGAGGCGTTTGCTGGAAAACTTCCGCAAGGCGAAGGAGAAGAGGGGGAAAAAGTGTTGCCTGGTTATCTCAATAATAGCAAACGGCTGGGGATGTTCAACAGGGATCTCATCCTGATGATAAACGACACAGCGGCCGTGGCCTATGATGCTCATGAAAACGAATGCTTCCTAGCAGCCATAGCAGAGCAGATACCTCGAAATCATGTCAGCATCACATCGAAGAAGAACCTTCTCTATGTTTTGGGAGGACTGTTTGTTGATGAAGACAACAAGGAATCACCACTGCAGTGCTATTTCTACCAGGTTAGGCTAAGTCACTCAAAAGGCTGTTCACACCAAGGTTTATAACCATAACATTTTAGCTTTATTATCTTATTATTAGCTTTATTTATTATTTTAGCTTTATTAGCTTAGCTGTGGTGTGGTCATACCTATTCTCATAGAGTAAGTATAACGACATAGAGAAACAATTTCGATGGAATCACTTTCAGAAAGTTTTTTGAAAAACGATTAACTCGTTGACGGGCAATCAGAATTTACCCGCCTTAAAAGCACAACGTTATACGAGGTTGTAGCTGTTTATACAGATCGTTTTTGGTGTGAACGGACCGTAATTTATCACTGACTCACCTTCAGGTTGTTCCAAACCTGTTATACTTTTCTTTTGGGAACACTTATGTTGCAGAACAAGCCATATAACCCGGGATTTGGACTAATTTTATGGTACGTTTTAAGAGTAACGTTCTGTCTCTGAGCTTTTCACATTGCAATTAACCATGTGCTGTCGTACTTTTAACCCTTGGTCATGAAATCATACTCTCGTGTTTTTAAACACGAATGGCGTTTTCAGACAACCAATCAAAAAAGGAACAGCACTTGCCTCATTAAATATTCATGCAGCCTTATTAAATGTACATATTAATTACAGAAAATGCAAATAGGAATGTTATTATCCATTAAATGCAATCAAAAATGAATTTACAAATTTACAGCACAAAATAATGAAAGAGAATTACATGTATTTAATTTTATATGATCCATGCGATAGCCTATATATTCCTATTTTATAAAGTTTTATAAATGTATATAATTTTTATATTTATATATATGAGTTTTTTATATTTTCTTTTAATTTTAGTTTTTTTAGTATGTCTATATACAGTAATTTTTATTTTGTTATTTTAGCACATTTAGCATAAGCTAAATGGAAATAAAAAATGTCTCCTCGACAACTAGCTGAAATAAAATAAGTTTAGGTTTTTAATTTTTTAAGTAATTATTTTAAGTAATTAACTTTTTTATGGTTTTAGTTTTAGTTAAGAATCCCCACTTTTGTGTTGCAAACTGGTTTGGAATGACACGAAGGTGAGTAAATTATGGCTTGATTTTAAATTTATGGGTGCATTATCCATTAAATTGCATGACTTTATATTTCTGGGAAGTGGTTTTAGGTGCAAAAAAGTCCCAAATTATTAACAGGCCTAACACAAAGGCCTATATCATCAGGTACAGTAAAACTAAAATTATACATTTGAAATTCATTTGAAATCATCCACATTCTTCAGCTGGACACTCATTCTCCAAACTGGATAGCCCTACCACCGATGCCATCGCCCAGGTGTCTGTTCACTATGGGGGAGTTTGAAAACCTCTTGTTTGCAATTGCTGGTAAAGACCTGCAGACCAACGAGTCTCTGGACTCAGTGCTGTGTTATGATGTCGAGTAAGTTTCTTCTACATGTTCTGCTACATGCATAAGCCAAATAATTACAAGTCTATTTAATTACCTTTTGCTGCTCTCTGCAGTAAGATGAAGTGGCAGGAGACCAAAAAACTGCCCTTAAGAATTCACGGTCACAGTGTAATCTCACAAAATGGACTAGTTTACTGCATAGGAGGAAAGACGGATGAGAAGTAAGTCAGATTTGAGTTAACATGATCTTAAATACAAAACAAAAGCCTGAGATGAGGCTTTAATGCTTGTTTTCATCTGTGGGACAGTAAAACCATCAACAAGATGTTTGCGTACAACCACAAGAAGTCCGAATGGAAAGAGCTGGCAGCCATGAAAACACCCAGGTCAATGTTTGGAGCCGTGTTCCACAAAGGAAAGATCATTGTGGTTGGAGGGGTCAATGAAGATGGCCTTTTAGCCTCTTGTGAAGCCTATGACTTTGGAACAAACAAGTATGCACACATCACTAGTTTTTAACTGATACTTAATCTTGGAACCACAAATCTTTAAAAAAAAAAAAGTATAAAGTGTATAGAAACTCTAAATTAAAGCTACGTTTAATTGATTCAAAGTTTCGAAAAGCTTTGTTTCTCCCACCACTTATTAACAGTTACCTTGCCAATTTGCTATTTTTCCAGCTATCTTTTAAAATATAGACATTATCATATAGATCAGTGGTTCCCAACCCTGGTCCTTGAGGCACCCCAACACTGCACATTTTGCATGTCTCCTTTCTCTGACACACCAATTTCAGGTCTTGGAGTCTCTGCTAATGAGCCGATGATCTGAATCAGGTGTGTTTGATTAAGGATACATGCAAAACATGCCGTGTTGGGGTGCCTCCAGGACCAGGGTTGGGAACCACTGATATAGATAATACATTTAACACCACCGAACATCATTCAGAAAAACCATTACTGATCTGAGCTGTCGTTCTTGTTTTCCCTCCAAAATAATGTCACTTCCTAAAGAATGATGCCACAAAGGAAATGGCTCTTGTTAACGTGTTGACTAACAAATTCAAAAATGATATTGAGGACACATGGAAAACCTATAAAATTATCACCAAATTAAAAAATATTCCCAGCAAAATATGTTTGGTTTGAACCATACAGGTTTGAGAAAAAAAATTAAGCAAACTGTTAATAATAATTCTAATAACTTGCCAGTTTTTCATTTGAGAAGACATAAATGACAAAAGCAGGCAAAAACATTATTTAAAATTCACCCCTATGTTTACTTAACTGAGATATTGTGGTAGTTATCCTTTGACGTTATCCTCTACAACTACCAGAATCAGATTAAACCCTGTTTTTTCCCAATAGATGGGAGCCGTTCGCTGAATTTGTGCAGGAGCGAAGTTCTGTGAATTTGGTCAGTGCTGCTGGTGTCCTGTATGCGGTGGGCGGCTTCGCCGTGCAGGAGAACGAGGACAAACAGTGTGTCCCATCAGAAATCACAGACATCTGGCAGTAAGTGTTCTGCTTTACACAGCAATAGTCCATCTGAATTATATTCATCGTACACTACCACTCAAAAGTTTGGGATCAAATATTTAAAAAAAAATTTTTTATAAATGCTGTTCTTTTCAGCTTTCTACTCACCAAAGAATCCTGAAAGAAAATGTATCACGGTTTCCCAAAATAAAAAAGGATCATGTGACACTGAAGACTAAAGTAATGATGTTGAAACTTGCGTCACAGGAATAAATTACATTTTTAAAAACATTCAAATAGAAAAAAGTTATTTTATATGGTAATAATATTTCACCGTACTACTGTTTTTACTGTATTTTTGATCAAATAAATGCAGCCTTGGGTTCACCAATAAGAGAAAAAGTTTTGAAATCATAAAAAGTGCATGCAAACTTTTAACTGGTAATGTATCATTCCAACTGGGATTCAATCTCAAAAAAACTAAAAATTGCTCTTTTTTTAACAGGTATGAGGAGGACAAGAAACAGTGGTCTGGAATGATACAAGAGATGCGATATGCTGCCGGTGCCTCCTGCGTTTCTATGAGACTAAATGCAGCAAAGATGCCTAAACTTTAAAAACATCATCATCACTTTGTGTCCAGCATAATCCACCAAAAACATTTAATGTCAATATGAAATAATATATTCACTATAATGCACATTCCCATTTTTGTAAGTTTTAATCAAAATGCAACTTTCTCCACCTCTAAAACAACTTTCTTTTGATGCTGACATTACAAATCACTCATCTTTACAGAAGTAAATTGTGTAGCGAATGTTGACTTTCAGAGTAAAAATTACCACAGATTTATATTTCATGTTGGGTTCTGTTGTCAAATGTGGTGCAGTTGAGGAAAACATTTATACAATGGATGTCAAAATTAAAACGTACTTTTTTCATCCAAACACACCGCTTTTCTCTTTTATATAAAATGCATAAAAATAAATACATATTTAAAGGCAAACAGCAATGCATTTCTTCCTTTTGAACAAAAAAAAGTGACGTAATAATATCATTTATTACAAAAATTTGCAATTAATATAAGATTGCAGTCCTATCTTGCAGCTTAGACAGTCTGCAAGCAATCTGATGTCTGATATTTCAAGATAATGTCTCAGGGTAACTCTGAGAATATTTTCTTCCTCAGATATTCTTTCCATGCATCTTCTGAGGAAAGCTCCATTGAGTTCCATTCAAAGTGAGGAATCTGTGTAGAAATATGCATTATTCGCAAAACCACACTTTTACAGATTCAGAATTATGCATTATCTTTCTACTGACCTGTAATACATGATATCCTAAAATTTCCAGATGTCTTTTCTTCATCATGGCCTCTCCTTTCATGTGCCAGGAATTTTTGCAGAAGGATTTGGAGTCCAGGAATTCCAATGCAATGCTAGACAGATTTAGAGAATCATGTTATATCTGTTTTTTTAACGTGTTCTTGTGCACATTAGAGCGTGTGCAGGTCACACGACGCATACCGGTGTGCTCCGGGTGGCAGCTCCATCCTCTCTCTGTCTGTCGATCCGGACTGCCAGTGAACGTTTCCGTTCTCGCTGATCTGCAGCTGAATCGGCTCGCTGTACGGTACCGGATGAAGATGGCGATCCAGAACGAGTTCAAAATCTGATGGCAAAAATATCACAGTTGTCATTTGCCTACAGAAGCAGTAATGCTGTATCTATGACTGTCATCCTGTACCACCGTATGTCTGTGAATGTATTTAGTCAATAAAATATTACACTGGGTCACTGTACATCAGATCAACGCTAATATAATTAATGGTACATAGCACTCAACAACAAATCATACTGACAAGTAAAATACTGACAAGGCAATGCTTAAGCATAGAAATGAACGTGTTGCATGAAATAAAAAATCTAATCAAATAAAAACCAATTATAATTTTTCAGTTAAAACAGATGTTAGACCTAAGGCAAGTTATTTTGCCTTTATTTTTGTATGTCAAGGTAATGCTTAAGCATGGAAATTAAATTGTTGCATAAAATAAAATATAAAATTAAATAAAATATTTTTTTTCAGTTAAAACGATGTTAAACCCAAGACAAATTATTTAGTCTCTTTTGACAAGGTAATGCTTAAGCATGAATTACATTTTATTGCACTATACAATGCACTATACAAACTATATGCAATATAGCGACAATACAATTATAAAATAATAATATTCAGTTAACAGTTGTCAGACCTAAAGAGTGTTATTTACGGTTCCTGCATTGCCATTTATCAAACGTGTACAATATTTACCAACAATGTTGGGAATGAACAATTCACATTTCATCTTTTTGAGTAAATTCTGACTAAATATTCTGTAAAATAAATAAATAAGTCAGAAATTCTGTGTAGATCTCATTTCATTGTTAAACTATCCACCTTATTTTTCAATGCGGAAGTAAGCTGTTTTCTGTGAATGTGCGAGACTTCCGCTTGATTAGCCGCGGTACGGAAATAACGAGAAGAATAACAAAGCGCAATAAACGGTAAAATTGTTTGTGCTACAACCCAGTGTGTTTATAATTAAGACAATAGATTAAAGTGCCCCTATTATGGGTAGTGAAAGGTTCATATTTTGGTTTTAGGAGTCCCTAACAACAGGATGACATGCATGCAAGGTCAAAAAACACTTTCATTGTCTTATAATATGCATTTATTTTTACCTTACTTGCTCAACGACTCCCAAACGATTCGTTCAACGATTAATTTTTCCAAACCCCTCCTTTGCGTGAGTCTAATCTGCGGTGATGGGTCTCATTTTCATTTCATCTTGCCTGTAACATCTGATAAAGCAGCGTTTGTGAGCGCAGTGCTGCTTTGTGTAGTGTTACCGGGGAAACCTCTATTTTTACCGAGCGGCACCTAGTGGCAAAGAATGAATTTGCATTTTCATTCAGACCAACCTGAAATTACCAACAAGTGGGGGGGCAATATGCTAATGTTTCATGTTGACGTCAACATGAAACGGCTTGGGATTCGTTTTAAAAACGACTCGTTTCAATGATTCAGAGTCGACTCTTTCTTTTGAGAGACAATAACTTTATACACGGTGCACTTTCAGATTTAAAACTTTGCAGGATGTTTTCATTCACTTAGAGCTCTGTTGCATGCTGCATGAAAGGTAATTTTCAAAAATCCATAATAGGGGCACTTTAAAATAATATGGTAAGAAACAGAAGTCTGTGATATCAAGCAGCAAAACGAGCTGTTTTGAACAGCTAAAAATAGCTGGAGGTGGATGACACCGGAAGCCAGACACATTAAATTCACAAATGGCCACGCCTGCTCTAACGGGAAAAATAAGGTGGATACTGTGTCATATATTTTAAAGTCAGTTAAAAACACTGTAAACGTGGCCTCTAGCTATATAAGAGAAATATTTTGAGAAGGATCTGTGATGAAAAGGAAGGTCATTTCAGAGGTGTAGGTGCACAATGAGACCAAGGGATGTGTATTTAAAAAGGAAATAGCACTGAAAAACCACTAATCAAAATAGTCCATTCTACATGTAACACTGGTTTAAAACTCACCGACAGTATAGAAGTATGGAGTCAGCACTCCTACTTTGGCACAATTCATCCCACCCAGGACGTCACCGAGCATCTTATGGATCTGCTGCTGAGCTGGACTAATGAAGCTATTGGCTACAGTGTGGAAAACAAGATTGTACATTACATTAAACAGTTCAAATCTATTTGACTACTGGGTAAGTAAGATTTGAAAAAAAAGAAAAAGAAAAAGAAAAGAATTCTTTTATTCAGCAAGGATGCATTAAACTGCATAATGGTTTCCAAGGTTTAAACATTGATAACATTGATTGTTTAGCAGCAAATCAGCATATTAGAATGATTTCTGAAGGATCATATGACACTGAAGACTGGAGTTATGGTGTTGACCTCTTTTCTGCAGCTGTTTACAGTAGCGCTCATGAAACCAGGGCACCTGGAACTCAGGACACTCCAGACACACGGCCCGATTCAGCTCCATGAGACGGAGACGGATGCGCATGTTTAGACCATCTGGAAAGGCTGTCAGCAAAGAGAAAAAAACACTCAAACAACAAAGCAAAATAAGAATTGCAAAACATTTTTGCATTACTGATTTGGAGAAATGTAGCATTGCATCGCTTGCTCACTAATGGATCCTCTGCAGTGAATGGGTGCCGTCAGAATGAGAGTCTGGACTGGTGTGGATTATTGTGATGTTTTTATCAGCTGTTTGGACTCTCATTCTGACGGCACCCATTCACTGCAGAGGATTCATTAGTGAGCAAGTGATGTAATCCTACATTTCTGCAAATCTGTTTCGATGAAGAAACAAACTCATCTACATCTTGATGGCCTGAGTTCAGTAAATTTTCAGCAAGTTAAATATAAGTATACTATCTCACATAATTAAGTTATATCATCTCAAAAACAGACATACTCTCCAATTGGGCATCCAACTTTGCAAGAAAGTCCACGTTGAAGATCTCTCTGACCACCTCCTCAGGGAAATAATCAGCCAAAGCCAGTGCGTAAGCCAAGAGAACCAGTAGGTGAGGGTCAAAGGAACCTGTTTGAATCAGTAAAAACAGGTTACATTCCAACTTCAAGTCTTTAAGATTAGAAACTTTTATAAATGCATAGAGGAAGAATCTTACTAATATATGGGGTGAAATGTCGAATGCACACATCAAAAAACTCCTCCGCCTTCGGTGGGTCATAATTTAGCACAGCAAAAGGCAGCATAATGGAATACGTTGCAGAGTAATGAATCTGTTTGGAAGAGATAAACATAAACATTTATTTAATAACAGGTGCTTCCGATAATTTTTTTTAATAAATAATAGGAAGAAATGTTTCTTAAGCAGCAAATCAGCATATTAGACTGATTTCTGAAGGATCATGTGACGCTGAAGACTGGAGTAATGATGCTGAAAATTCTGCTTTGCATCACAGGAATAAATTACATTTTAAAATGTATTCAAATAGAAAACGGTTATTTTAAAGTGTAATAATATTTCAAAATTTTACAGTTTTTACTGTATTTTTTTTTATCAAATAAATATAGCCTCGGTGAGCACAAGAGACTTTTTTTCAATAACATAAAAAAAAAATCTTACTGGCCCCAAACTTTTAAACCGTAATGTATTTATCCTCATCAAATGCAAATAAGTAAATAAAAATTATATAAAACAAAATGCATTCAACTAACTGAAATAAGCTTAAATACTAAAATCATTAAAACTGAAATAAATTAAAGCTAAATATAAAAATAAATAAATTACAAAAACTGACAATATAAAAATAAAATAATTTTAAATATTAATAATAATAGTACACAGATACAAAAAAAACATACAATTAACCTTATATAAATTAACCGTATATAACCTTAAAAATTAAACATATAATAAACAAAATGTATTGAAACAGCATTCAAAATGACTCCCACCTTGTCTATATTTTCAATGATCACACTAGCGATACGGTCCATCAGCGCGGCACAGAAGTAGTTGGTCCTGGTCAGATAAACGCCTAGCTCATGCACGTTAGTGCAGGATATCTGGTCAATCAGTTTCTGCATGGTGACCATAGACTCTTCCAGCAGCATCTCATCAAACCACTCCCCCGACAAACACTTCACCTCCTCCAGCACCACGTCCAGACTCTCGAAGCTGTGCAGGCGCTCACGACTGCAGCGGTTCAGGGTCTGGAGCAGGCGGACGTACTTGCTGGAGGTGTTGTGCCGGTACGAGGGGTCGTTGCGTATCCACTTGGCGACGACCATGGCGTAAGTGTTGAGGTCGTTCAGGTTGCACTGCGGGATCACGGCGTTCACCCGGGAAAGGACGGGCTCATCGGGACGGGGAGAAGGAAGCATGGACAGAACCCTGGTTAGCATGGTCACCTCGTACGGATAAACACTGCCCTGCAGGTAACTGTGAGCAATGACCAATGAAAGACAGAAAAAGAACAATCGTTAAAAACCTAACTGTGTTAAATAAGATACTTTAATAGTGTTATTTATTTATAATAAGCTCTCATTAGTTACTAGTTAATGCATTTGCTAAAATGAACTAATGATGAGCAATGTATTTATTTTTTACAGAATGTATTAGTCTTTGTTATTTTTTTTCTTTGTTAATTAATAAAATAAAAAAGTTGTGTTTGTATAATAATTATATAACAATATAATTATTAAATTATATGATAATAACATAATAATAATTATATTTTTATAATAATATAAAAATGCATTGTTTGTCCATGTTACTAATGTTAACAGGTATACATACAGTATATACATATCGTTCAAATATTTGGGGTCAGTAAGTTTTTCTTAAATGGTTTTGAAAGACTCTTATGCTCACCAAGGCAAAAATACAGTAAAAACAACAATATAGTGAAATATTATTACAACTGAATATAACTATTTTCTATTTGGATATATTTTAAAATGTAATTTATTCCTGAGATGTCAAAGCTGAATTTTCAGCATCATTACTCCAGTCTTCAGTGTCACATGATCCTTCAGAAATCATTCTTAATATGCTGATTTGCTGCTCAAGAAACATTTCTTATTATCAGTTGACTTTTTTTTCCAAATTTTGGAAAAACTGAAAATTCAAAAGACCAGCATTTATTTGAAATAGAAATCTTTTCTAACTATATAAATGTCTTTGCTGTCATTTGTGATCAAATATGATCTTACTTTATAAAAAAAAAAACTTACTGACCCCAAACTTTTGAACTCTAGTCTTCCATTAAAATATAAAGTGATTGCAGTGACATAAGATTTTAGTCATGCCAACTACCTCAACTCTAATAATTATTTGTCTGCAAGGTTCTGACATGTGAATGTTATGCAGATTGTTCTTACTTGTTTATCAACTGAAGGTTTCTGCATTGCATCTCCTCCATTGTCTCCACCACACCTAAAGCCTGATGGGGATTCAGCTCATCAGCCAATAGCAGCGCAGTACTCTCTAACCTGCAAGACCAATCAAACCAATCAAATCATGCTGTTGTGATTCTTCTCTGACCTGGTTTGTCTGGTTCATGGCTTATAACAAGTTTACTTGAAATCCCAATGGAGAAAATGATAAATACACTCACTGTTCAAATTTATTATACAGATACCAAGGAGTCAATTCGAAAAAAACAAAAAACAAGGCAACATTTCAAAGGCAACATCTAAGATGTAGATCAGTTTGTTTCTTCATGGGAACAGACTTGGAGAAATTTAGACAGAAACAGAAAAAGATCATTGACATAAAATAATAGTTATTAAAAGAATAAGGGATACTTTCCCTTGCTCACCCCTCTCTGACACCTTGCCCTGCTATTGGTCCTAAAGAAGCATAGAGTTTGGTGAAAGTGGCAGGATCTGTGCCTGTGTCCACCAGCTCCATGAGTCTCTGTCTCACAGCCAGCCGGAAATCACAGTTATTGTACTGCATCGAGTGATACAGTCCCAGAATGATGCTGATGTGCTCTACGTCCATCCGGGGGACGTTCTGCAGGAGAAGCTGGTTGCATTTCTCCAGGAGGGGTCGGTGAATCTGTTTGACGTTTCGGATGAACTGCACGACCCTTCTGGGGTTGTTGAAGTGCAATGGGTTCGTTTTGTCCAGAAGGAAGTCTGCTTTTTTAAACAGTGCATCCCGTAGTTGTGGCGACACCAGGGCAAATATACTATTCATCAAGGGTGTGAGCACTCTGTAAAGACGATATGAGTAAATACATTGGTATTATTTGGTGCATTACACCTTTAATGTGCATGATGGTTAGAAAAAACACACCTGGCATCTTGAATCGAGTCCAGTCTTTGACTCACTATTTGCGTGATCTGACCCATCAGCGGACTGTGCTGCAGGAACTGATCGCTCAGACAAACCGCAAACTTTGAGAGTGTTGCCATCTGGAATCTGAAAAGCACAGAGAGCTTGACTTAGATAAACACATAAATGTTTCATTTCCCTTTTATGGGGCATGCATAGGCAATTTATGTTTTTTAAATAATCATGTTTAACAGCAGAATTCCTGGTGAAAACTACATTAACCATGTGGCACTGCAAATGACATAAGTACAATCTATGCTCTCAAATTACATATATATTTACTCAAAATGTGGATGTATAAATACAAATATAAAACATTTTATTTTAAATATTTGTGTAATTATATTGTGCATCTGTGTGTGTATAATAATATATATATATACAGTATATATATATATATATATATATATATATATGCATATTTTATAATAACAAAATATTTATTTATACAGAATATAAGCATATATTGCATAAATACATATGCAGATATATACTGTATATTTCACATTAATTTACACAGAGTCTATATGCATGTATTGCATAAATAAATATGCATATATATGTATATTTCGTATACAGAGCCCCTAAAGGGACACCCCATATTTTTCCCACCACCAAGTCCCTTTAGGGACTCCGTAATTTCACAATAATAAATACACATACTGTAAATTTTACACTTATATTAATATTTATATGCATTTGCATAAGGAGATTTACATGCATATTTTGCAATAAACAAAAACATATTGCATATTCCACATTTATGTATATAATACATAGAGTATATGCCTATTTTGCATATATTTGCAGATTTCGCAATAATCATAGAATATATTTTACATATACACAGCATATGGATGCATTTATGTGCAGCTTTTTCATGTACCTCTCTAGTCTGTTCCAAGCCTCTGTCACCAGCTGCTGAACAAGAGAGTCATGGTGTTCTACTTGAAGCCTGCGAAACAAGACAAACACAAGAAAAGACTGGTTATTTTCCCCACACACACTTAATTAGGACACCATATAAACAGTGCGGTTTAGACAATAGCTCTGTTCCAGAATCTACTGAGCTGCCTAGATAGATAGCTGCCTACTAAGGGAGCATTCTGACTGAAATGAAACATGACCAAATGCCTAGAAAACGTTTTGATTCAATAGATTGAACAGAGGAAATATTAATAACACAACATTCTAAACATGCACAAATACTGAGCAAAAAAAAAAAAAAAAAAGGAAAATATTTTAAATAAGAATCTCATTCGTCTGGCATGTTAGAAGAACTTTTTCACTCCAATGCAATGCATTAATGCATTGCTTTTCCCCAAAGAATTCATATGATTCTGCATTAAAATTGGACTCAGGCAAGGGTATGTCAAAAAGCAGCTTGATGCCTACCTATAATACCATCTAGGTAGCTTTTGGAACAGAGCTTTTACTTGACCTTCATATCTTCACTCTGTACCTGAGCACACCATACAGCATATCCACCACTGAAGCATCATCCATGAGGCTGATCTTGTTTTCAGCCAGAACTCGAAGCGTCAGGAACTGCGGGTGATTCCGGACCTGCTCGATTGTCCTGAGCATGTGTGGCCGCTCTCTTTGAAACTTCCACAGCTGTCCAATAGCATAGCTCACATGGCTCGCGGACAGCTTAGCTTTGTTCCGGCCCACCACATCGAACACCTGGTCTTCAGCAGAGCACGTCTGAAGCTGGTCTAGCACCTGATCACGGCTGACGGCCCCACCGTGAAACAGCCTGCGGGAACAACACGCCCGAAACGATCGGAGCCGGAACATGGCAGAGGACGGCCGGCGTCAGGATACACTCCACATACTACACAGATCAGACGAACCGAAGATTCAGATCATCAAGTTTTGTCCATGTAAGCTTGAATGCTGCTATTCAAGCAAAAGATAGTAACGTCAAATATACATGGAAATCATGCACTCATTATTATTATGCTCATAATATAATTTTCATAAAATTAAATCAGAAAAGACTGCAATCAAAACTGCTATTCACTTAAAATAAAACAAAATTCATAAGTACTTAAAAATTTGATTATAGTAATTGTAATATGTAAACACATTTTTTGTGCAAATATCATGCATTTTTTATTTTTCTCATATATATGGCAAACAAATGCATGATTACAATATATATATATATATATAT